GGCCGGGCTACTGGCCGCGCAGCCATAGTCCGTCGCACCCCCCCCTCTCAGTGATACCCCAGTAGGGGTTGTTAGAGAGTAAGAAGAAGAAGAAGAAGAAGAAGAAGAAGAAGTATGTGACTTTTGGCACGTGCCATTCTGCATTAGGTCAACGCCCACTCGGGTGGTATGTGACCTTTGGCACGTGCAATTCGCGCAAACACAGCGAGCGATACGTGTGAGTCTGGTAGCTAGTAGGCCTTGTTGATTTGAAGGTTTAGAAAATGACTAAACACACAGATTTCGCTAACTAACAGTTTTCGCGCAAGTTGCAGGTGTCAAAGGTCACGTCATCCGAGTGGGCGTTGACCTCTTGCACGACATCTTCAATATGGCGGCGGGTTTGTTTTCCTTCGTGACGATGGATCTGCAAACAGTCTTAGTTCTCGTCCTGTTGTTTCTGGCGGGCGTCTTGCTGGTCTATCGGAGGGGACGTCGGCTGAACCTCCCCCCGGGACCCCGGGGGCTTCCTGTCGTGGGGAACCTTCTCAGTTTGCGTCCCAGCAAACTGCTGTCCAACATGGCGGCCTGGCGTCAGCAGTACGGGGATGTGTACTGTGTGAGGTTCATGAATAGGGTCATTGTTGTGCTGTGCGGGTAAGTAGGAAAGGTACCTTATTACTAGTATGTGTAGAGAATGTCAGTGTTCACGGGTGAGTAGAGAATCTCTCTCTCTCTCTCTCTCCGGCTATGTGTGTGTGTGTGTGTGTTTGTGTGTGTGTGTGTGTTTGTGTGTGTGTGTGTGTGTGTGTGTGTGTGTGTGTCTGTGTCATGCTCACAGTCTTTGTGTGTTTTGAGTGTGAATCATTGTGAGTGTGTGTGATGCTGTTTGTGTGTGTGTGTGGATGTGTGTGTGTGTGTGTGTGTGTGTGCATGTGCGTGTGTGGAATGTGTGATGTCGTGTGTGTGTGTGTGTGTGTGTGTGAATGTGTGTGTGACAGAAAGTTTGTGTGTGTGTATCACGGTTTGAGAGCATGCATTTCAGAGCACAAAAATAATTGATATCTTAAAGTTCACATTTACACTGAAAAAAAAAACAGTATACATGCATTATGAAAATAATATAGATATTTCATAATTGAGGTCCATATCAGGAGTGTCTCTACATGTACGTATACCCTGTTTGTGATCCTCATGGGACAAAATCCAACCACCTGTTTTTAAGCAGGCTTGAAAAATATGCCACATGAAACCTGATCTCTGACCTCCATTCCTTGATTTTTGTGTTTTTGACCATTGAACGACCAGGACTTTGAGTATAGGACTATGACTCTGTTTTGACGCATCGGACTTTACTGTATGTTGTCCACTCTTGTCCTACTCTATGTAACAATGTCTTGTGTAATTTTGCTGGCCCCCTTGGAAAACAGCTAATGTAAGTTGAATGGGGCTACCCAGCCGTCTTATGATGAAATAAAATAAATAAATAAACTTGTTGTCTTGTCATTTTATCCAGACATAAGGCCATCCACGACGCTCTGGTGAAGCAGCCGGAGATATTCTCAGACCGACCGAACGCGAGGCTCTTAAGACGAGACCCTGGTATGGATATGTTGACGTTGTTATGTATTTTGTCAAACGTACATACACGGTTGAGCAGTGTACAAAATACTTTTTTGAACCAGGTTGCCCAGTGGCAAAAATTAGGTTGCCCATCAGAATTTTAGGTTGCCCCACCTATAAGTTGCTACATACATAAGCCTTTGACAATATTTCTAACAGCCTTTAGTTAACTGATACTAGTAATAGCCATGAAATAAAATTAAAAAGCATCTGTCGGATACAGTGGTGCAAGCCAAGTGGGGATGATTTCGTGGTGGGGGGGGGGCATTCTTAAAATCCAGGTAGCACACTGGGCTACCTAGGTTCAAATAATACGTTGCCCCAAGTAAAATTTGGTTGCCCGGGGCAACTGGGCAACCAGGTATTTTGCACGCTGTAATGAGGCATGCAAAGAAATATCCGGAAATTCTCAGCATAGTTCGATCATTTCTCTAAAGGGCAAGGGAGCAACTCTCCAGCCAAAAGTGTTGTTTGATTGCAAATAAGACACAATTAGCAAAAACAACAGAAATCCTTCGCGCTATATTCTAAAAAAAAAGCACGAATATTTATGTTTATCCAAAATATGTCGTGTTTGTCCTACTCATATCATTACTTCTACTACTACTACTACTACTACTACTACTACTACTACTACTACTACTACTACTACTACTACTACTACTACTACTACTACTACTACTACTACTACTACTACTACTACTACTACTACTACTACTACTACTACTACTACTACTACTACTACTACTACTACTACTACTACTACTACTGCTACTACTACTTCTACTACTACTACTACTTCTACTACTACTACTACTACTTCAGTAGGTACATACCGGTTGTGTTTCTTCATTTAGAATGTCCAGCATATGATACATAGAATTTCTGTACTAAACTTCTCATTGAAAAGTAGGTGAAAATTGGCAACGCCGGCTTATACGGGAACGGGTTTTCTGCGCGTGAAAAATCTGCGCGTGAAAAATAAAAGTCTTAGAAATATGTTAGAAAATATGCAGTACCAAATTCTTAGGCAGGAAAATGTTGTCCTCTGGTATAATTTTCCCTCTGTTAGCCAAAATTTTTGTTTGAAAATGTTGGTCCCTTGGGAATAAGCTAATTTGCATAATTTCCATAAAACCTGACCTTTTGAAAATCACTTGAATTTGTAAGAAATACAAGGAAAAGTTACTAGTATGAGGTTTAGGATGGTAAAATGTAACAATCTGAAGCTTTTCTCCATTCTAGAAGTTTGATTTCATGCTTTCTTAAACAAATTCTTTCACGCGCAAATTTCAACCTTTTTTGCGCGTGAAAACGCATTACCTTTCAAAATAACCTGAAATCACAAAAAAATGGACAAAACAAGGGTATGTAGTCTAGAATGCAAGCAAAATGATGTTAGATTTTTATTTTCTTGTCTTTTTTCCAACTTTTATGCTTAAAACAGCAAAAAGTTTTCAAATCCCCTGGGAGTCAGCTAGTTTGCATATCTTCACGCGCAGATTCTTCACGCGCAAGTTTTTCACGCGCAAATTTTTCACGCGCACAAAACCCCATCTCGCTTATACGAATGTATTATGTTCTTGTGCACCGCAGGTTTGGTGATGGCTCCTTACGGAGAACGTTGGGCAGAACGACGCCGGTTCGCCCTGTCTGCCCTCCGACAGTTCGGCATGGGAAGGCGCAGCGCCGAGGGAAGGATTCTGGAAGAGACGGCAGCTCTGTGCGACGCTATACGGTCCCTGGAAGGAGCGCCAGCTAACATATCCCACCTCCTATGTAACGCTGTCTGTAACATCATCTGTTCTATGTCGTTTGGAAAACGGTTCCAGTATGACGACGAAGAGTTTAAGCGTTTGGCGCATGCGTTTTCATACCTCGTTGGCGTGCGTAACAGAATCACGGGCATGCTGCTTCAGTTCGTGATGCCGGTTCTGAGGAAGTTCCCCATGACGCGCGACTGGCGCGGGTACGGCATACGAATGAACGACTACGTCATAGAGTTCATCATGAAACGCGCGGAGGAACACAAGGCGAGTTTCGACAGGTCGGACATCAGAGACATCATCGACGTCTACTTGAGCGAAGACGCCGGCAGCGGTGTCAACGAAGAGGCACTCGGCACGGTCATCCGAGATCTCTTCATTGCCGGTTCTGAAACAACGGCGACGACGTTAAAGTGGGGGCTGCTCTACACTTCCCTGAACCCAGACGTGCAGACCAAAGTGCAAGAAGAGATCGACCGGGAGTTCCCGTCTGGAGGAGTCCCGCCATGGTCAGAGCGCGGACGGCTGCCCTACACCGAGGCAACCATCATGGAAATCCAGCGGATCCGTGCGATCGTGCCTCTGAGCGTTTTCCACGGCACCAGTGCTGACACCACCCTGTACGGATACGACATCCCAACCGGTACGTACATCATCCCGAGTCTCTGGTCCGCCATGATGGATCCAGAGGTCACGCCGGAACCGGAGAAGTTCCGACCTGAAAGGTTCCTGGATGAAGAAGGGAAGGTGGTCAAACCGGAATGGTTTTTACCTTTTTCCGCAGGTACAGTATACATTAATAATTTTTACCTTTACCGAAGGAAATCATTGTTTTCGCTCAGTTACTTCTTCTTCCTCTTTGTCTTCTTCGAAACAAATAAGGTCAATTGGACCAGACGTCTGTCACCATGGTAACTGGTGCTGTGGCAGACATGCAGAGGTGTTGGGTACATTATGTAGCAGGACATATAGAGCTGGAGGGGCTGGTCACTATCTATTATATTTGGGGTGTTCGAGTAAAAATAAACAGAGCAGTAATTTGTTATGCATGTCGTGACCATATGATGGTAACAATTAAATATTATCTTTCTAGTTTTCTATTGATTTGCCAAAATTACCAAAGAAAATGGAGAAAATATTCCACTCATGCCTTTTGTTTCTCTGTTATTCCCCGTATCGGTCTAGGTCGGAGACGGTGTTTGGGAGAGCAGCTTGCCAAGATGGAACTGTTTCTCTTCTACACCAGCCTGCTGCAGCAGTTCACCTTCAAACTGCCAGACGGCGCACCTACACCACCCATGGACGGCGCTCTTGGATTTGTATTGTGCCCTGCACAGTATGACATCTGCGCCGTTCCCAGACACATTTCATAAAGCAGAGAAATATACAGGAAAAAGAAATGATAGCTGGTATCATGATAATTTTCCAAAACGTTAACCTTGGTTAACATTGATGTGAAGTACTATGTACTATTATGAAATGCAGTATTGTTAACTGAGCATTATAATTGATAAGGTATACCCGGATTTACATTTTCTTTACTCTAATACAACATAAAGGTGTAGTAGCTATGGGCTCCTTTTAATTTTCTACATTACGCAAATATCGTTCAAATGTAAACTAGTGTGGCAAACTGGTTGTGATAGATTATACCATGTATGTGTACATTATTACCTTCACCAAGGTTATGTTTTCAGAGGCGTTCGTGTGTCTTTGTGAACACGATAACTAAAGAAGGCTTTCGTGGATTGTCTTGATATTCGGTAGGTGGGTAGGTCTTGATAAGTCCTCAAAATGATTAGATTTTGGATCCCCTAGCGGCTTCTAATGGTACTGCAGCAGAACTTCCGGTTTTGATATCTCATGATCTGGACATACGAGGGTCATGAAATTTAGGTGGTAGATAGCTCTTGTGCTTGGGAAGAGGTGACACGAGTTTGTTTTAATTGAGGGAATTCTAAAAATCAGCTGCAGTCCATGATACATGTAGGACTATCTAAGCTTGTGGCATACATGTATGTACATGTACTTGAGAACGAACCACAGGTATATATTGATTATGTAAATGTTGACTTAATCTGCGTAATTAAAGAGAAAATGTTATAATTCCATAGTAGTATTAAACTACCCGGAATTTCATACTTGGGGTATTTGAAAGTTGAGTGAAGGTGAACATCATTAAACATAACTTATTCAAATAAGGACCTCATTTTCATCATCTATAAGGGGATCATTTGGCAAAGATATGAGATCGTGGAACTATAGCTCAGTACTTTATTAATTAGCATTACAATAAAGTAATACTAATAGTGTTGTACTTCATTTATACAAATGCATGTACATACATGTTATAAATGACTGTGTGTATCAGATAGCACACTATGTCATCATTGTCTGCTATCATTTCATGTGTACTTCAGCACAAATATTACCTAGTGACAAATATGGCAACAGGACTCAGTCTAGACACTACGCTCAGGCCACACCAATTTAATTTCTTGGTTAACGGATTCGCCTCTTCATTTTTTTCTGATTTGCAAATAAAAATAAAAATTCAGAATCAACTGCAAAATGCTCATATTTTGCCCTGAACAGTTGAAAACAGTCCTTTTCTTATTACTTGTTACAGTCATTCCATCTTTCAATGCAGTGCTACCATTAAAAGTTCAAAATTCACTGTAACAGTTTAAATTTTGAACCAGCCTGGTGTGTTGACTTCATGGCTCCTATCGTACCATTTTGGGCCATTTTGGATGCCTAGGCCAGTTTTTATTTTTATTTTTTTTTCTCCCGCCCGCTCCATTAATTTTCTAGAAAAATCCGTTAACCAAGAAATTAAATTGGTGTGGTCTCAGTGTAAAAACAACAGTTCTCTGAAGGCACCCAGTCATGTGTTGTCAAGTTCGCTACGCAGAATTGACTCAAAATTGTGAACTTTCTCATAAGAGATACCAGTATTTACAGTAAGTGGCCTTATATAAAATACATACATGTATATCAATAGGTATAATACAGTTACATAGTAAATGTATTATTATTAAAAAAATAAACTTCGAACATACAGATTATTAAAACACTCATATAACGAAGAAGATTATCTTAAGATCGCAAATGTACGTCACAGATCTGCCATTACTACACTAAGAATCAGTTGTCACAAATTGCGAATTGAATCAGGAAGACATAACCGCACTCCTCTAGAGCAAAGAATCTGCCAATATTATAGTTTAGGTAAAGTAGAAGACGAGGTACATTTTATTGTGGATTGTTCCATGTATGACAGCGAAAGAAACGTTCTTTTCGATTTTGTGTCAAGCAAATACTCCCAATTTAAGTATTTGAATAGTATAGAGAAATTTATATTCCTTGTAGTCTTTAACAAACCAGCTCTAACTACTCATACAGCCAACTACATTTATAAGATTACCAGAAAGCGAGAGGAAGTTGAACGTACTTGTGTATTATAGCCGTTTTATTATCAACATTGATGATGTACTTTGTCTATATGTGACCTGTCTTTAGCCCAGTGGGGCAAAATGTACAATAAAGGTCTTCATTCATTCATTATTACTTGATCATTCATGCCTTGATCAAAATTTAACATATATCTGCTGCCTGCTGTTCATTTAGCAGGTATTTAATCTTATTCACAAGTAATTTGGCATACACTGTATGACTGTCCAAGGGTAGTGTTTTCTCCAAAGAAAGACACTGTTACAGTTTTGTGTCCCATAGCGTGTTCTGGATGTCTTTGAAGATCCCAGAAGACTTCTGTCAGTAATCAAGACTGGAAGTTCTTTGCTGCAAAATCCTTGGCCTCCTTGAGTCGTGCTCGGCTTTGTGGGCAAAAAAAAATATCATATTGAAACTTTTGCATTGTATGATCATTGTGGGTGTAACTAAGTCATCTGTGTGTGTAGCATTAGTAAGGCCAGAGCTTTCTAAAAACAAAAGGTGCAAGTCTGAAACGATGCCACCTTCAGGCCTTGAAATTAACTTTTCTTCCTATTGTCCCAGCACTGTCCCAAAAACACATTTCAGTGAGAATGAACTGTCTTGGGAAGTATTGTATGACTTCAACTTGAAGTTTATTTTGCTCATGTTCACTCCCAGGCACACTATAGTTGCAGTGTAGACAGGAAATTCGGGGGGACTATTTTGGATCCAAAACGGGATGTGTGCCTGATAAACAAAGAAGGGCTGACATTCTGATGTTGATTATTTTTCTATTGTCCCCAAAATGTTCTAAAGCGTCTATTTAGTTGTCCCAGCCTAAATTTTAGTGGTCAGTGGCCATTGGACCACCTTTGATTTCGAGCCCTGCACCTGACTCACCTGCTGCACCTGCTGACAGGTCTGGAACTTGCACCTGAGGATGGCCGACTGTCACTTCTGTCTCCAACTACAGGGGAGAGATACATTTAGAACCACTTGAATCCAGTTCATACCGTCAATTGATATAGCATGTCTTTCTACAGGTGTTAATTGAGTTACCCAATCAAATCCCAACAGCCAATCAGCAAGAAGAATAGATCTGGAAGCTGCATGCCTATTGGTTGCTTGCTCTGCATGCCATTCAGATGACTCATTCCCCAATATGGTAACACACTGCTGTTGTACATTTTCTATAACACAGCCGAAAAGCTGAAATAAAACCATTCTAAGCTGAAATAAAACCATTCTAAAAGCCTGTATCACAAAAATGAAAAAAAAAAACGCCTAGGGGTATTTGCTCACTCTACCTTCATGCCAATTTTCATGTTATTTGGACCAAAAATGAAGGAGTTGAATCAATTTTAAAAAATGGCAGAAGGAGGAGAAGGAGAAGAGGCATGAGGAAAAACAATATGTCTTTCATGGTATAACATTTGCAAATGATTATAACATTGATAATCCCTAATCAAGTACAAGTAAGTACCGGTAAGTAACATTTTTGTAATAATGTTTGCCTTCACATGGTCTAGACTAGTCTAAGTCTAACAAATTACTGCTATATCTACTGTTACTCATGCACATTCATATAATTATATAATATATGGTGATTAGACCATCTAGCTCTGTTCTGCTACATAATGTAACCCAACACCACAGGGTGTCTGCTACAGCACCTGTTACCATGGTGACAGACAACTGGCCCAGGTCATTATATACATGTTATTTTATATATGTCCTTTTCACTGACCTGACCGTGCTGACAGTGGAGGCTCGACCGGCAGGGAGTCCATGGTGGCTCTTAGGGAAGAGAACCTGAATACAACAATATTTACTCTTATCTTGAAAGTTCGTCTGTTTTGGTAGAAATCATTATGAAGCAAGTTTAAACTGTAATTTCCAACACAACAAATTGGACTCGCCCAAATTTTTGACTGTACAACTCCAGTCTTTGTCAAGGAATGAGCAATCCGCCGCTTCCGTGACGTCACACAGATAACACACGTGACTCCGTGAGCAGTGGACCATAGGTTGCAGAAGGGGGCCATCTACATCAGGGCATTACAACCATCCCTCAACAGAGACGGGGGGCGCCACAGACTTTCTGCAACCTATGATACACTGCTCACGGAGTCACGTGTGTTATCTGCGTGACGTCACGGAAGCGGTTGATTGCTCATTCCTTGACAAAGACTGGAGTTGTACAGTCGAAAATTTGGGTGAGTCCAATTTGTAGTGTTGGAAATTACAGTTTAAACTTGCTTCATAATATAAGATACACTAGTGCTGATGAAGGTTAAACATTTGGGTAATGGGATACTCAAGAAAACAGTTACTACTCAAACAACTGGATACATTTTGAAAACTGTCAATTGAAACTGGAAACATCTGACAGTGGTAATGCTTTCTGTCAGTCACTGATGTTTCAACTAATGTTTCAAGTAGCATCCACTTAAGATTTCATCAGTGACTTGAAAACTGACATACTGACGTTCTTGCAATGAGAGCTGGACTACAGTCAGAGTCAGAAAAGTGACATAATCTCAAGAGGAAAGTGGCTGACCTTTGTCCTAAGTCAGTTTGGAATGTGCTCAGCTGTTGCTCCACATTCCTCAGCTGGCTCTCCACCTGTCTGGCACTTACAACTGCAGGGGGAGGGGGGTGGAGAGGGTGTCATTGGTTAACGCTAGACTAAGTCTTTTGTTGTCAGTTAGGCGACAGCAAATAAATTTTATGGATGACATCCCCTGCAGACTCCAAATCTAATGCGAGCGGGTGAAAAAAAACCAAGGCGGGCCGAAAGAAACAAGGTTCCTACATTTTAAAAGTTTTAAAAGTTTGACTCAATCATTGTACAAAATTTTATTAAGTGGGGACATCATATATATACACAGCCAGCATCACATGTCACTGCATCAAACTAAGAAACAAAACATTGAATCAGAGCCTTTTCTTGTCTCCTCTCTTCATAGTTATCTGCCATCCACGTTCCGGCATGGCAACAGACATCTTTGCCCATTTTTGGCATGTTGACCACTGTCAGAAGGCAACAAAATTTCTTGGTATTTTTTTGCCAAATAAGGCGAAAATTAATGCCCGCGCTGATGTCATCCATAAAAATTACTTGCTGTGGCAAGGCTTGGGAACAAGGCTAGACTTCAGGCTAAGTTAAAGACCTACATTGTAATTTACATGCAAGCAAAACCTCTTGTATGAAAAATGTGTGTGTTCAACCAAGCATACAATCTGTACATTGAATTTTTCCTATGTGTAAATTAGCCTGGTGTGATGTACATGTACATCTAGATTTATACAAAAATGCATCATAACTACAGCATGGACAAGCACAAAATAAAACGAAATGTATAATGTACACTCAGTCTGTATATAAAAATGTACACTGCTGACAAAACTGAACAACCACAAAGTTTCTTTACTTGTTGATGCAGACATGGGTCTCATGACTGGTGCTGACCCAACCCTGCCACACTGTCTCTTTGTAGTCAGCTGAAGAAAACAACAGGTCTTAGAAATGTTTAAAGTTAAAACTTTTGGTCCAACAGAAAAAAATTCTCTCACCTAGAGCTTTCAACCAGTCACTCTGGTCTTCCTCAGTAGACTGACCCAATGAAGCTTGTCACGTGGTTTCTTTGAAGTGTGACGTTCACACTGGGTCAAAGGTATCTGGTAGACGATTGAACCGCGACGGGGGCTGACATCGTCTACCAGATACCTTTGACCCAATGTTGACGTCACACTTCAAAGAAGCCACGTGACAAGCTTCACTGGGTCAGTCTACTGATGAGGAAGACCAGAGTGACTGGTTGAAAGCTCTAGGTGAGAGAATTTTTTGTGTTGGACCAAAAGTTTTAACTTAAAACATGTAACTACCAACACAGATGAACTTTCATGATAGGTCTTAGAAATGTCAATCCACAAAGGAATGAAAAAGCAGGCAATATTTTCAAGCTGTTTGAAACTAAGTGCATTATGATATAGATGGATAAATGTGGACTCACCCCATCCAGAAGTTCAAGAGAGGGTATTTGGCTCTGTAACTCCTGGTGGTAACTAAAAGTGAGAAATCCAGGATCATTTGTGAGCAGATAAGCTTGTACAGATATAAGATACAAGCAGTTTTCATGTCTACCTATATTAGGCATTCATCGGTCTTATAAGACCATGAAAGTGCTTCATCTACACCTTGTACATGTACTTATTCTTGGTTTTGCCTGAGTTGATGTCTACACAAAGTCATGTACCTAATTTCCAACAAAGATAGTTCAAATGGGTCGACAACAGATATGGTAGACTACTATAGTAGTCTACCATATCTGTTGTCGACCCATTTGAACCATATTTGTTGGAAATTACAGTTAAACTTCATGAACTTTCAAGATATGGTGATGACTACCATGATTAAGAAATAGATGATGAACAACATTAATTTTGTGCTATTTGCTGGATTTTCTGCTTACCTGAATCTCTCCTTACAGAAGGGGTTTCCAGAGATGTGCAGTTCGGCTAGTTGCAGGCACTTGGACAACAGGCACTGAAATATAACACAGGTGACAACTGTATGTGCTTGCACAATAGTTCTGGCCTCAGAGAAGGCAAAGCAACAACGATAACGCAGCACCACATATAGCTAAGAGATGTTAGAAAAAAACCAGTAACTGTTACTCAAGCAACTGGATATGATTTTGGAACTTGTCAGACTCTTCAGGTACTGTAGCATCCACTACCTTTCCTCAGTGATCATGACAAAAACGTCTGACTGTTTTTCCAAAATCATATCCAGTTGCTTGAGTAACTGTTTTTTTGCATATCTTATAACCTGGATGTCTAACCTTCACTGAGCTATCTAGGAGATACTCATTAGAAAACACTGTTATCTCCCAACTTGCTACATGTACAAACAAGACTGGCAATGAAAGCATACATTTCCATGGTGACGGTGGTTGCTGTTAGGGTTATTGTTTGCATGGCATTGCCATGATTTCATGATTTTGAGGAAGCCTTGGTACCCTCCCCTCCCCTAAGTGTATAGTGAACGAGCCCCGGGGTCACAGACAGTAGGACATCCGGGGCAGACAGGTTTCCTAATGGTTTCCAGGAATGTGGGCATGTCAACAAACAGAGCTGGGAGACATTCCTGTGGACATTCCATGCCTGTGGACAAAATGCCTGTACAATTCCTAGAATTTTTGCAAACTGCACACAATACTGTACCATTAGGCTCCTCCCTGAGACGTCGCCAAAAATTTACAAGGAAGAAGAAACCAAAGAACAACACAAACATGTACATATACATAGGAGTGATCTCAATAAATGCATGTTTCTTATTTTATGAGTGAAATCTCACCACTTGTTCCCATGAGACTATGGCGTTTTCGCTGACGTTGAAGACTTCCAAAGCTGGAAACTGTTCTGAGATGTTTCCCAGCTCCTTCAGTAGGTTGTTAGATACATTCAGGTCCTGCAGATGTCTAAAATCAGAAGGGTTGGGTTAAAATCCACAGTCACATACATCACGTACAGACTTTTAGCTAGGGTTTTTTTGTTGGGTGTCTAAATTTTTTATCATAAGTGCAGCAAGGCGGCACAGGCACAAGCTTTTTAGGGAGGTTTTTTGAAATTCGAAATGCTCTCAAACACTACATCCTGCATTTTGAGGTGCAAATTTTAAAGAATACAGACTGCAGCCAAGTTTTTTCCTTCGTTATAACATGGCAGGGGTTGGGAGTGGAAAAAATAGGATGTCTTTAGGGTGTTCTACCAAAAAGTAGGGAGTCCAATTTGTTGTTATTTTCAGTAGTACAAGGAGGCCAAAGACACCAAGACAAACCCCTAGCTAAAAGCCTGTCAGTGACCGGGTAATCAAAATTACATAAAACATTGAGACATTTAATACAAGACCTTATTAATAAAGTGAGGGGAACTCAAATGATGTTGTTAACACTTGTTTCTTTATTTCAGGAGAGCCCTTACCTGAGTTTTCCTATTGCTGTGAGACTGGATAGTCTATTGGTTGCTAGGTTTAAAGTCTGGAAAGATAACAAACACTCAGGTAATTTCAAGATAGTCTACTGGGATGTCTAACCTTCTGTGCATCTAATGCAATTTCAGGGCAGCAAAACTGGATTGATTTCTTGTCAATTTCTGATCATTCTGTAGTAAGTCAAATTGTAGGCTGGTTCTGGCTATTTATTGGTGGTACCAAAAAATAGAAGCCTCATGTGGATTGTTTTGGGGCTATTTTAAATGCTTTACGTATGAAATGATCATGGCAAAAATGAATAAGAAATGCAAGTAAATGTCAATATCAGACAGATTTCTTAATCCTAAATATTTTCGTGTTTTTCTGCCCCAAAATGGCATTGGATGCCTTTAAAATGAAGTGTATTCAAGGACAAAATTATGTACCAGAATCTGATGTATATCTAAGGGAAAACTTTGTGATATTGTGTGTTGTTCAGTACTCACAGTTAAGCTGTGTAGATCTTTCAAACCAGACAAGTCAGTCAGGAAGTTGGTGGACAGGTCCAGATCCTGCAACTGAAGATTGGGATGACATAATATTTCTAATGATTTTCAGCCTTATTATCATCTTTCTCAAAGATTGTATTCATGCGATGTTGATTCTCAAAGATTATAAGGCTCATTCAACTTCTGAGGCTTTCTTCTTAGCAGTCTTATTCTTTATAAACAACCTACAACATATTAACATAATTTTGAAAAATGTATGTCAGTCTTAAATGGATCAAAAGTGTGTCTCAACAAAAAATTGGAAAAGGAGAAAAAACAATTCATTTAAAAATCTATACCAAGTAACTCCTGAAGAAAGTTAAAACAACAAAAAATGACACAGTCACATACTTTTTTACACCTCATAGTTCTGATGGCAGCAAGTCTGTTGTTGGAGGCATTCAGTTCCTCAAGGTGTGGCAGACAGTTCACAGCCTGTGAGGTGGGGAAGGTATTAATGATACCATCTTTGTTACTGTACAATGTCATGTACATACAGGTATCTTAACTTTCTTGATGTAAGACTAGTCATATGGTAGTCACAATAACTCGTGTGGCAGTCATGTGGCACAGCGGTAGCGCTTTTGGCTCAGGACCTAGAGGTCTTGGGTTCGATCCCCACCCATGTCACTGACCGTGTGCCCTTGGGAAAGGCACTTTACACGACTTTCCTCACTTCACTCAGGTGTAAATGAGTACCTAGCTTCGGCTAGGGACGTCCCTCGGATAGGACATAAAAAGAGGTCCCATGTTTGGGGAGAGCCACACCCCACGCACATTAAAGATCCCACCACACCTTTTGAAAAAGAGTAGGGGCATGCCCCGGTGTGCGATGGTACAAATTCTACAATCCGGAGTCTAATGCCAAGAATTGGCACTGCCAGAATGATCAGTATGATGATCGTGGGCATCTAAAGGAAGAAGAAGAAGAACTCCTACACTTGAATGTACATTGTACAAAGATTGGGTGTAACAGGTTGTTTGATGCTACAACTGTATATAGCCAGCTGCTGTGACAGTCGTGTTGCAACATGTGCACTGACTGCAAAGCAGGTGTGTTATGCCAAAGGGTGGTTATACCGGCTATACAAAATAATACAGCTTACCGCCAGTTCCTGTAGCTTGTTACAGCTGACGTCCAGGTGTGTGAGTTGTGAGTTTGCTGTCAGCTCCTTCCCCTCCAGCTGAGAGATGTCGTTACTGTCTATCCGCAGGATCTTCAGTTTTCTTAAGCAGCTCAGACCCTTCCCTGAAAATTACAAAATTCACTCAATCACAATGTACTGTACAGTGAGATACACAATGGAAATTGTAGCCTGGATGCCAGATCCAAAGCACACTGGACACAAAATATCTCAGTGTGCAAGGGTCTGGTAGGGTCTCTTAGGAAAGGCTCTCGAGCATAGGGAGGAGAAGCTGAGATTGATGACCCCTCACACCACAGGTAGCCTGTGTGCATGGTATCACCATTGGTCAGCAGGAGACAATCTTGGGCTCAACAGTTAATCATTAACCAGTCAATTTTCTAAATGTTTTGGGAGTTTATTTTCCAAAATAACAGCAGAACTTAGTCTAATAGTAGAAGTAGTGTACAACCCAGGCTTTCCTGTTTGTTTAGGTAACAGTCCTCTAACACACCAGGACAAAATAACCTTATCTACAGTTTAATCTCATCTGCTGGTGGCCACTGTTGAAGATTCAAAGATTTACAGCTGGGAGTTTTTAACCAATCATAGCAGAGGTGTAAAATTGCTTCCTGCTGTTCCACCAATGGGGCCTTACGCTCAGATACTGAGCGTTCGAGTGGCAGGTCTATCTGGCCCTACCAGACCCTTGCACACTGAAATATTTTGTGTCCAGTGTGCTTTGGGTCTGGCATCCAGGCTATGGAAATTGTTACTCAAGCAACTATTTTGAAAATTTGAACATTTTTAAAAAGGTTATTTATAAAAATGGTTACCTAGTCTGCGTATTCTGTTATGCTGAAGCTGCAAGCAGGCAAGCTCTTGTAATCTGAAAACAAAAATGCAGAATATGATTTTGTGGTAACTTGTAAGTAATCTTTATATTAACAATATCTCTTAAGTAAATGTGCAGAGTTATAATGAGTAGAAAACTAAAAAATGATGATGATTCTAGAATTATTAAAATTGATGACATACCTGTCTAGATTCTGGACGTCTGTTATCTTGTTTCCATATAGTTTCAGCTCCCGAAGATCCTTCAAAAGAACAAGTAGAAAGATTAGCAGTGAAACCTTTAATATAACAGGCATGCGGCGATACCTTTAGAGGTATGTAACATGTCAATTTTGCATGCATTCTCCTGATACTAATATGTATGTTGTCTTCTGATATTTGGATCATATCTAATGAAAATTCCTCATTTAAGTTGATTTGAAAGTAAATATGGAAGTTGCCATCCTCTATATATGAAAAGGCTTGCTGAAAAAATGTCACTTTTTTGGTCCTCAAGACTAAATGGTGTTGATGCATTTGCCTTATGCCACACCAATTTAATTTGTTGGTTCTCAGATTTTTTCAGAAAAAAATGAAGCGACAGGGCGAAAGAAATAAAAAGATAAAAAGAGGCGTAGGCATCCTATCATATCCCCAAATGCTACGATAAAAGCCATGAAGTCAACACAAAAGGCTGGGATAATATTTGAACAATGAATTTTGAACTGTTAATCAAACCACTTCATTGATAGATGGAAAAACTGTAATGTTTAGGAAGAAAAGGACTTTCCTCAACTTTTGGGGGCAAAATATGAGCATTTTTTAGTTGAGAACCAGAATCCATTATTTTTTTTATTGCAAATCAGAAGAAAATGAAGAGGCAAATCCGCGAAGCAACAAACTAAATTGGTGTGGCCTTACCTTGTTCTGATCTAGTTTCTCTATTGTTGTCAGCTGATTGCAGGACAGATCTAGAATACGCAGTTTGGTGAACTGTAAAAAGGACAGTCATATCAACATGTTATAATGTAGAAAGTACATGTACTAGTAATAATAATTATAAACTATGATCTTTTTAAAACACATTTAAAATTCACCCTTTGGTCAAAAGAAAACAAAAAAAGAGAGAAATGGATATAATGTAAATCTGCTGACTGAAAATTAAACAAATTTTCAATAAAATTTTCATCACCCCACCTAGTACATGTAGTAGACTTAAAACTGTACTGTAGTAGTATCTAGTTTTAATTTAGTAGTGATTGGTTTTCTCTTTAAAAACATTTATGAGTTTTGTAGTGCGCCTGCGCACCCCCACACTGAATTGCACTGGAAATACATGTACCTTATGGACAAACAGTTAGTAATACAGATATCTAAAAAAAAGAATAATTATTGGGATAAAATACGCCAAAAAGCAGTTACTCAAGCAACTGGCCATTATTACAGGATATATGATTTTGGAAATGGTCAGACCTTTCAGCTAGCATCCACTAGCTTTTGTCAGTGACTGTGGGATAAAAGTTTGTTAAATACATTACTTTGGAAAGTAGAACTAGTACTAGTAGAACTAGTAGAACATTTTAGAACATTTTACTACGTAATTCTCCAAGCCAATTCTTATCTAATAACTCATGAGTTTTCTCACCTTCTCCAGGTTGTGTATTCTGGTGATGTCCTCAGCATGGAGGTCCACTTCATACACCTTCCCATAATCCTTTTCACCAGACTTCTGCAGCTAGATTCAAACAGTGGCAACATGTTAACATTTGTATTTAACCTTTGTACTACAGTTTTCAATATTATAAAATGCCTTTTTTTTTTTAACTGAATTTAACGTCATTTTCCCCAACCGGGGGTTAGACGTGCTTGCACCAAGTACAAGTCTTTTTTGAAGCAAGATTTTTATGGCTGGATGCCCTTCCGAACGCCAACCCAAACCCTTAAGTGGGGCCCAGGATCCCTCTAACTGAGGGGGGAAATGCATGTTAACGTCTGGGTGCAAGTCCGGACGTGTCTGGGTCCAACCCTGGGGATTGAACCTGGGTCTCCTTGCTTGACAGTTAGACGCTCTATATCCACTACACCACACAGACGCCAATCTAGTCCCAATATTGCAGCAGCAACAACTAGCTGCAGTACGAATCAGAACAGTAACTGATTCACTGAAGGAAGGTGACACTGACAGTCACAGAAACATTGGAATGGCAGAGCTCGAAATACTGGGTGCACACATGTACATTACAATCATGCAGGTAAAATTGGGGCTGTGTACTCATGTAGCTAGGTATATTTAAATTTTAATGTCTGAATGTTGTGCTCCTAGCTTTTAAACAAACTATATGGTATCATAATTTGGCAGCTCTCAACCTTCAAATTCTTGAATCGTACTTACTTACTACATGTATTTGAAATGGAGTAGGGTTGATTCAACTTACTTTTTAAAAAAAATACCAGAAAATTGACTTGGATGATACTAATGTTACAAAATGCAGCTTTAACAGTTTACAGGGCTCGAAATACTGGGTGCATGTGCACCTTAGTGCACCCAAATATTTTTGTAGGCTTACGTATGTAAAGATGTGTAATAGAATACAGCATATTCTTAACATTTAAGTGTCAGAAAAATAATAAAATCATTGTAATACTAGCACTTTTCTTCATATTACTTTTTGCTAACATTCTACTGTCTTATTTTATCTTAAATGGTGCACCCCAATTTTTTTTTTTTTGTATCCAATTTTTCAGGTTGGGTGCACCAGTGCATGCACCTATAGTATTCCCAAAAATGAATTTCGAACCCTAGTTTAAGACACACATACTATGTCAGCAGGAGAGATCTTGTCTTGTCTGCTGTCCCCTTCAGCTCCAGTCTGGACATCGATCATCACCACGTTCTGCTCACCGGGGCTGTCCTCTTCTGCCGGACTCACCACGCCGTTTTCACGCTCCGTCAGGAACACTGCTTTACTGTTCACAAGAAAATTCACAACAAAAAAAATGTTTATGATTAAAACAATACCAGTGACTGCTGTTTTTGTTTACATCATATGCATGCAAATTATTTGAAGCATCTGCAAATTACATATTACACATTTCCTTGCGCTAGTACTTTAGTACCTGGGTTCATAATGACATTTGGGGAGTAAAAGATCACATTCACCACTGTTTGTTTACAATATTTTTAGGAGCCTCCTAAAAAGACAGTGAGCCTGCCATGTTTTATTCTCATGCTGAGCTGAGTCGCCGGAAAAGCGAAATAGCGAAGCTAATATTTTGAAGGTTATTGAAAATGACAATCTAGATGAGAAAATTTCATCTTTTTTAATATGTACAGTTTAGGCGCAAAAATCTTACATAACATTGCTTTAACTCTGACAACGTTACAAAGACTGGCCGCAAAAACCTATAACGTTAGATATCGCAAAGTAATCATGGCTCAAATGATATATTTACTGTCTGAGGTTAAGTTCTGGCTTTTCAAGTCGTGTGCTACAATTCCCTCCCTACAAACTATTATAAACTGGACATTCTTTCCAACACTATATATGAAGAGACGAATTTTAGGGGGAGGGGGGCATAGGAATTTATAACATAATACGTTACCGGTACCTTGTTTTGGTCGTCGCCACCGCCTTTATTCGCGAGGGCTGAACGAGTGGAGGCATTTTCATCCGACTCCTCAGTCTGTCGGCCGACCTCACGCCTTGTTTTAGCTGTGGTTTCGCCATTTCCGAGTTCCTGTATCTGTTCAAAGGCCAAACTTACTGTCCCGACCCTGGCATTGGCATCTCCGTAGCCAAGGTTCCGAAATGCTATCATCGACAAATAAACAGTTTCTCATTCCTGCTACACGAATGGTAATAGACAATTTTGCAATACCCTATGTTTAAGTCAAAAAATGTAAAATTAAGGGGATTAATAAAAGAAAATCATTATTTTAATCAAACTAATTATCTTGTTTATCTACCATAATTGTATTTGAGTCTTTTCGGAGATCAATTTTGGGTATGCGAATGTCTCGCTACATTTCTTGTTATATGGTAGGTGAACTTTCACCTTTCACCTCTACAAACTGAGTTGAGCTTAGAACTTGGATGTTTTTCATTTACCAACGATTTCTGTAGTCAGTATGGTTGTATTCAAGCTTCTAAACAGAGCCTGCTTCTACCTGTACAAAATTATGAGAGACCGATATAATATTAGACAAGTAGGCTACAGCTCTAGCGGCCTTGGGTTTTTTTTACACCCGAAGAAGAAGATGGGGAGGGGGGCGTGGTCTGTGCCTGTGGAAATCCCCTTTTTCTAGCAGCCGAAATCGTCTTTCAGATAACCAACACTCGCCCAGACTTGCCTCTGCACCTCAGGTACATTCAGGGGATTTCCAACAGGTAAGCGTTCCAATCCTGGTGCAGAACAAAGGGCTGTGACGTAACTGGACTTTCCTTGACTGGCTTGAGCTACTGCAAACGTACAAAATATCTAGCTTTTTGCGCACTTATGTAAAGATAGGCGTAAAATAAGACGTGAGTCAGTCCTCAGCTATGGCTACCGACCTCAAGTTCTTGCTGTGTGTCACGCAGCTCATGCTGTATTGTTTGGGTAGGTGTGGAGGTTAACTTAAAGCTCCTTGGTCATGCTTTATGTCTTATCATTGCTCATCAATATTGTGATCTCACAATACTGTTGTTGTAGTCAGCAGCTACACTTGTACATAGCAAGCCTGGTTCTGAAACACTCCAAAGCTAGCCAGTATAGGAATGGACCAGTGTTCTAGCCAGTGTCTATTTTTCTGTCATCCAATCGAATTTTGCTGCTCCTGACTGACAAAAAATTTTGCCCAATCTGTCATCTTTATGAAAAACTGGTGAAATATGGGACTGTTGCACCCTCAAGCCTTCAGTGCTTGATTATAAAATTGAGATGACAGAAAAGTTTTCAGGACGCTGGCAACGTATGCATAAGGAAAGAAATGTTGTGTTTCCTTTTCAGTACTGGAAAAAAATTAGGGTCAGCAGGTAGGGGTTATTCTTTTTTTTCTTTCTTTCTTTTTATTATTAGACTTTGGCGATCTCTAGTGATCCAACCCATACAAAAACTAATGCACATGATGACAATTTCATTTTGTTGGAAAACCAATAATTTTGTACAACATTTCATCTCTCAGGTGTCAGATCATTGAGCTAGAAAAGGTCAATCAGCTAAAAAAAATTATGTCCCTTACAAGTTCAAGTTACAGGGATCAAGACAAAAAAAAAAGCTAGGGTCAGCCAGGAAACAACAAACAGCATTTTTTTCCTACTATAACTAGAACCCTGAAAATGTTGTCAGGCTAGTGGGTTATCAGTGTCCTGATTTTTACTGTATCATCTTTTACAGGTGTCTTTGGAAGGTCCGTACCCGACTGTGAAGGAGGAAAAGTCTGGAATGTCCTGCTGCGAGTGTGTGAGTGTCCACAGTGGACCTACTGGTACAACCCCACACATGGATGTGAGCCGTGCCGTGAGCGGTGTAGGGGAGAAGTAACATGGTGTGAAGCACAACCTGAATGTCAAGGTATGCACAGAAGATGATTAGCTTCCACCAGGCCTTCCTAGGGCCCAGGAAAAAAAATTGTTGTGTTTCCTGTTTCCCGACCGACCCTAGAAAAAACTGCCAATCCTACTTAGTAGTAGTAGCCTTTTTTTGGGTGGTTACCCCTGCATGGGACATACATTTTTCAAGATGATTGACTATTTCTAATATTCTCCATGATCCGTGGTTGTGAATAAAGATCATGCACCAACCTTAAATTATTCATAGCTATGTAACTGGTGTGTGTGTGTGTGTGTGAAGTGTTACAACCATTAATTTACTTGTACTTTCATTGCTATTTCATTCACATGAAATGAACAGTTTAGTTTCTTTATTGAGCACATTGGTTTTTCAAATGTTGTCAAACTGTGTAGATTATGGCACCTCAGTCTACCATCAAGTCACTACGTGAGAGCTTTAACGACAAAAGTTTTCTTTGTAGTTTGTACTGATGGCATGTTGCCATCAAGCCCCAGTATTGTGCAAGCATGTCTAACCCTCAGAAGACGGGGAACAACAGATGATAAACCGGACAGTGAGTGAGTGAGTGATCTCGAAAAAGTCCCTTAGAAATGAAAATCCCAGATGAGCTCACCACCAAAAACAGAAGGGGATCCCCAAGTAAAGCTCACGGATTATTCCATTTACACAATGGGGAGGTAAACAACTCTAAGCCTTCTCCCTGAATTCTTTGGGTCTCTGCTTAATACATGTAAATTGTGGAATCATTTGTTGCACATCACACAGTACCGTACCATAAGCTAGGCCTGCATGCCCTTTTCCATAGAGGGTATTCAACTGTTTTAATTCTACGTAGAGTGTAGACAGGCCACTCTAATTCAATGTAGTGTGTAATTGGCGCATTTTGTGTAGAGTGTAATTCACCATTTTAAATCTACATAATGCGTTGTAGCTACCCAGAATTTATTGTAAAATGTAATAGTGAGGCTTCTTGAATTCAGCTAATACGTAGCCGGGTCTTGAAATTTAGTCCCCCCTATATGCAGTCCCTCCCATAATCAATGTATTTTAATATTACAGGCTATTTGCAGTCTCTGGCATCAACAGTGAATCCAGGCTCTACAGAATCATCATGGACAGTACCCCTTGCATGGCAGACCAGTGTGCCAGGTGGGAGTACATTTCGGTGCCTGTCATAAAATTTCTGGTGCAATGGCCAAGTGGGTAGGGCCTAGGGAAAAATTGTTCTGTTTCCTGTTTCAGTCCTGAAAAAATTTGGGCTAGTAGGTATATAGGGATGACCTTTTTCTTTCTTTCTTTCTTTCTTTCTTTCTTTCTTTCTTTCTTTCTTTCTTTCTTTCTTTCTTTCTTTCTTTCTTTCTTTCTTTCTTTTGTTTTTAGACTTTGGTGATGGTGATCCAACTTCCATTTTGAATGTCAATGTTGGAAAACCGATTATACAATGTTTCATCATTCAGGTGTCAGATCATGGAGTTGGAAAAGGTCGATCAGCTCAAAAAATTTATAAAAGGCTAGGGTTGGCATTTGTTTCTAGGGTCAGTCAGGAAACATAACATACATTTTTTTTCTTAGGCCTGATGTATTTGCCTTGCATTCCAGCTGAGTCATATTAAAAAAAAAATAAATAATATGGTACATATTACTTTCACACTGCTTTGCACTACCAGTGCAGTCACTTAAACACACACCACTACCAGTGGACTACACTGCCTCCTGCTGTAGTGAACTGTGTGGCCCAAGGGCTTGCAGAATTTCTTTTTTATTCTTAATTTCAGACTTGAAACCATTGCAGCTGGCAGTCATTGTCATTGGAGCAGTTCTGTTCATAGCTCTTTTGGTAATCACGTACATCGGGTGGACTGTGCATAAGCTGAAGATGCAAAGGTCAGTTATGTCCCCATGGATTTCTATTTATTATTGTGCTAGAGTCAACTTCCATTCTTAGAGATGTGTTTTTTGTGCATACATGTAGCTTATCAACAATGAATAATAGTCTAGGTGAGTTCAAGTATGTGTACTATCAGAGAACAGCTATTAAACTGACCCTGGCTCCAAAAAGTCCTGATACTCTTAAAGTTTCCAATGTAATAGTTATGTATTTTTAACACAAATTTCTATTAAAAGGTATAGACATTGGTTAGATAAGCATTGTGATGACAGTCAGGACTGTTTCACCCTTTGATACATGTAGATTGTAGTTGACTTGACCAAACGACAGGTGGGGTCATGTGGCGTAACGGTAGAGTGTTCAACTCCGAACTAAGTGGTCCCGGGTTCGAATCCTGCCGGGTGCCACCGATCTTATGCCCTTGTGAAAGGCACTTTACACGACGTTCCTCACTTCACTCAGGTGAAAATGAGTACTTGTAGCTACAGCTAGGGATATCCCTCGGCTAGGTCAATGTTAAATGGAGGTCCCGTGTTTGGGGAGAGCCACACCCTACGCATGTTAAAGAACCCACCACACTTATCGAAAAGAGTAGGGGTCCTTCCCGGTGTGAGTGGATCAAACTTACAGTCCTATGGCTGCACTGCATTAAGGTCAGCTGATTTAGTGCCAAATGGCAGCCCGTCCAGACCCATGTGATTAAGCCACTGACAATAACTGTAAACTTCTCACAATTCAGCCCTTGGCTGCAAAGAGAGATCTAGAATAGCCAGCCAATCCAGTAATAGCGAACTAATGTACATTGTACTCTTGGGGTTTCAGGCCAAAGGATCACACAGTTGAGAAGATGCGGTATGAGCCTGAAGGTGCTCTAACTGATGAGGACAGAAGATCCACACGTCTCCAGCCTGATACACAGGAATCTGAGGAGCTGCTACCTCATGGTATTAGGCCTTGGGAAAAAATGCTGTTTCAAGACCATGCATCTTTAGAAAACTGCCCTAGCCGTTTTTTTGGGATGATTTTTGGCTCGGTGCCCTTAGAACCTCAAAACCAAAATGACCTGAGGAGTACTTTTACTAAAAATCTCTTTATTGGTATTTTTGAGAATATTTGTTACTGAAAAGAACTACACCGTCAGGGTCTTTTAACACCGAAAAGCACTGTATGGGGTTTTGGAGAACAATTATTACAAACTTGGGGGTAACACTTGATACTGGATTGAACTGGTTGATAACTGTCCATTTTGAAATGGGGATTAAATGGACTGAAATATGCTGTATTTGCTCATGAGCAAATATTGGCCTTTTTTTTCAAACTTTATTCAGATATACAAAGCATACAAAAAAAGCAATCTTAAACAAGAACATACAGGTGTACATACATTGACAGATACTTGTGGTAGCAATCAGTGATAATTTACAAAACAGGGTAACTTAAGGTTTCCACTTTTTGTTGTGTTTACATAATTTTGTTTTTAGCTGTTGCAATATTTTCTCCATTCTGTATACATATTTAATGAAGGCAATAATATATTTATATCATACCCGGGCCGCGATAATGTTGGACAACGGGTTCCGGACCGGGCCATACTTTACGGTTCGGCCGGGCTTCCATGGCTTCCATAGAACAATTCCAACATGTTTTGCCATAACCGCAAGCGCCACTTTCGAAAATTCAAATAAAAGAATTCGGACGTTGGAATTGATGTTGTTGCATTTTTGGGACGTCAACTTTTGGATCATTTCGCATAGAAAGGCGCGTTTAATTAGGTGGGCATGACAAAAATAAAATACAACACGGTGTATTCCGCATCGACCTCGGTCCCGACCCTCCCGCGAGTCAGGTCGCCCTCGGCCTTTGGACGATCCGACTCTTGGTTGGGCGGATACCTTGGGCGATACGGAATACCCCGTGTTGTATTCTATATGGATGGATAGATGTTGGCCTTTCTAGTCTACAAGTGTTTTCACTGCTGTTGCAACTTGCAGGTGCCCAATGTGCACATGAGGGGACATCACCATCTGATGACAGGGTCAGACACAGCCCGACCAGTGACACAGAACTGCACAAACCTGCAGTGGCCGAGCACGGAGAAATCCTACAGCAGCACCGAGATGCTGAGAACAACAGGCAGTGAAGTTTGGCAGTGGTAGAAATACATTTACAGTCAAACCTGTCCAAGCCACCCAGGGGACTTAAGAACAGTGGCCACATTGGACAGGTGTTTTTGTTTGCTAGAGGGTGGATTGTGACCCGAAATTGTGCACATTCAAGGTGTATATGGTGATGCAAACCTCCTAAAACTCTTTTCTCCTTCAGGGAATCAAAATGCATAATCAGACATTAGAATCCGGGACACAATGATGGTGACCTGTCGTGGTGCATATGGCGACAGTGGTGTATAATCATGTACACATTTTAAAGCTGCATTATGTGACATTTTGTTACAAAAAAAGTTAACATTCTGGACATTTTCGTAAATAATTTCATCAGGTTGGTGAATGATTGAATAGTATGTAATTTAACAGCTCTTTTATGTACAACCATTTGCTTAAATTAGTGTATCCAGTGTTAAAAGGAAAAGAAGAAATGTAAGATTTCATACCATCGGGTTTATATAGGTAAAGTATTTAGTAGGTTTTTACGATATGATGTCTTTATATCTAGACCTTTCTTTAAACAGCTGTGGAAAGTACCAATAATAATCAAACAAACAGTAGACAATGGCAAGGGACCATGGAGTTCACCAGGCAGCACTATACCAAAAGAACATACTGCGCCTTTGCGAAACCCGGATATTTTAAAGTTTTCGTTGAATGTTCAGTCAACATGCATTAGAATTGTTCCTGTTGCAGACACTATTTTCTCCCACAAAACATTCGAAAACTATAGACGGGATGTCATCTTTAAATGCACATATACAACTTTTAAAAGACCTATTCAGAAGTGCTATGCACAAGTTTTGCACATGCAGGCACTGTACCTTTTGCCAATTTGTTCACAATACCATTGTATACAACAGACTCTATACTCTGCATCGTAAAATCTTCAGATTGTTTTATTTCCATTTAGATGACTACTGTATAACAGACTTATTTCACATGCAAAAAATAACACTTCAAAACACTGCAAGAAATCTAATTTCCTCCTAGCATGTGACAAATATGTGCCTTTACAGTAATATGTGACTAATGATAGGTGCCCTAATGTTTTCTTATGATTTTTTTTGGTGGGGGGGGGGGGCTAGGTCCACTTCAATGCATTTAAACACACAATTTAGAAATAAAACATATGACGATGTAGTTCCACCAGTTACACTAGTTCCATATCTGCCAGATGCATTATATATCTAGTACATTGAAAGTGCCTATTGTTTCAACATATTGTCTTCACAATAAAATTGTCTGATACTATTTTGTTGGAGTTCGGTTCAGCAGTAATTTTACATACAAACATGTCTAAGAATATTAGAAGCACAAGATGTTACATAGCTTCTATCAGTCACATGGATAGAAAGTACCTACTCTTAATTGGAACTAAACATTATCTTATAAGTAAGTAGACCTGTTTCTTGCGCCATCTCCATTATCTACACATGTGAACGCACCTGTCCTTGGTACTGAACACCATTCACGCACACGTAAACACATCTGTTCTTGAACTGAATACTTTCCGCACACAAGTAAACAGACCTATCCTTGTTGCTGAACACTACCCACACAGGTAAATATATTTGGTACTTCCTAATGAACACTGTCCACACAGCTAAATACATCTGTCCTGGTTACTGAACATTGTATAATGAACACTGTCCACACAGGTAAATACATCTGTCCTGGTTACTGAACACTGTATAATGAACACTGTCCACACAGGTAAATACATCTGTCCTGGTTACTGAACACTGTATAATGAACACTGTCCACACAGCTAAATACATCTGTCCTGGTTACTGAACACTGTATAATGAACACTGTCCACACAGGTAAATACATCTGTCCTGGTTACTGAACACTATAATGAACACTGTCCACACAGGTAAATACATCTGTCCTGGTTACTGAACACTACAATGAACACTGTCCACACAGGTAAATACATCTGTCCTGGTTACTGAACACTATTCACACAGGTAAACACACCTGTCCTTGGTGCTGAACACTATCAACTCACAGGTAAAAACATATTACGTTCTTGGTACTGAACACAATTCACACAGGAAAATAATGTGTCCTTGGTGTTGAATACTATCGACACACTCAGGTACACACACCTGTCCTTCGTACTGAACACTACCCACAAAGGGAAACACACCTGTCCTTGGTACTGAACACTATTAACACACACAGCTAAACACACGTTTCCTTAGTGCTGAACACTACCCACACAGGTGAACCTGTTGCTGATCATCTACGCATATGTAAATGCATCTGTTTCTTGTACTGAACACAATCCGCTGACATTTAAACAGACCTGTCCTTGGTGCTGAACACAATCCACACAAACAAAACACATTCCCCTCGTGCTACATATAAAGAATAATTGGAAAAAATATAAAATACACAGCGATGCAAATATCTTTGCTTAAGATACCTATTGATGATGACAGCATAGGGGAACTACTTTTAGAAAAGGGGACATCGGGAAAGTATGTGTTTGACATCCTGACAAGTTGTATTTTTTCATTGTGTCATGAGAATGGAATAGTAAAGTTAAATTATATCAGACTGTATATAATCAACTTAATCAAATGTATTGGCAGCCGCACATTCTTTCACAATTGGTTTGTGTCCTAGTATTACGAGGGTTAACTCGTAACAAATGTCTTGGAGACCAATAGCTAAGTTGTTCTTAACATCACACCATTGGCGGCATGTCGGAATTATTTATACACCAGGGATGCCTATAATGCATTCATGGTCTGTATGATGCCAACTATGCAGGTAAAAAAATGTGTGCCACTCTCAGCTATTGACTTAATCCTGAATATACATGATTGTATGATCAACTTACACTCAAAGAAACTTGTAAATGCGAGTTTTATGCAATACTGTCCAGCAAAATTACATTCAATGGCAATAAGGAATATGAAACTGTATTACATGCAAATCCACTCAAATTTATGATATCTGCATACCATGCAAATCCACCGAAATTATACAAATATTATCCTGTATAACTGTGTACACGATAAGGCAGTATAATATATGAAGTCACTAAGAATCACGAAAACTGACAGCTGTCATCTATACCAAGGTGCCATTTGTTAATTGTCAATTTGATCATGAACAGAGATGTAATTCAAAGACAATACACTTGGTTTTCTATCTGGACAACACTTTTACATCTCTGATGTTTTGAAGTTTATAGGGGGCAAAAGATCTTTTGCTGGCTTGCTGTAGGGCTTGACATATTCATTTTCAACAGGAAGATTTTCCAGTTCTAGGTGTGCAAGTCCTTCAGGCACCTGATACACACCAGCCCGGCCTAGTGTGTCTCTGGTAGGGCACGTCCCCTCTTCGTTTGTAGAACCGATTTTAGCCTTCTGCCTGTGCCTCCTGAAAATTTAAGTCAATATACTATGTAAATGATGTATTTCGGTGTATCTACAAAATGTGGCATTCTGAAGGAACCATTGTAGCAATCGCTGATAAAGGTGACATTCAGGTAGCAATATTCAAAGACCCCACATTGAAGAGAAAGGGAGGACTGCGCGTAGAACTCTCGAGTACAAGGGAACCCACCGTGCCACAGCCCAAGGGACTTTTGCCATTGGGACTACTTTATTTTTATTTACATAACAGTGACACCTTCCAGTCTTTGTCATGTTTAATTATTTTTTTTCAGTTCCCAATTTCAGTGTGATTAGTGTCGACTTGTGCTCTTATTTCATTTACTGACGCTGATGAAGGGAGGCGGATATCACTCAAAACGTCCGGAAGTTATCGTAAGTAATTTATTCAGTTGTAAAATTTTATTTCTCTTTGAACATTTAAGGTGCTATCGTGTTCTTTAATTTAGTAACAGCAAAGAATAAGTTTTACCTACCCCAGAATGACACCAAATCCAGCTATGGCGAGTACCAAAATCACGATGCTGGATGTGAGGGCTGCCACCAGCGTGGTGTTTGAACCTTGTGATCCTACTGTAAAAGATAAGGATAACGTGTTAAACAAGATGTCTCTTTTCTAGTAAAGACAGGGCAAATCACTGACATCGATTGAGTTTTAGAAGAAAAGGGGAAAAAACAGTATGCTTTATACACAGTGTTTAGAAATGATATAAAATTGATGACTTAAACGGCATCAATAGCATTTTGTATTCATACATGTGGCAGAAAAATTTTGATATCAACATTACAGAAGCACCAAACCTGTATTATAACGTTTGTCTTTAGTTCGAAGAAAATAATCTAATAAAATCTGATGTAGTAAATATACTAAATTAATCTGACCTGAGGGCCTTGTTGCAGTGACATTGGGAGCAGGTGTCGAATAACCTTCAAGCAAAAAGATAAATCATGTTCATTAGCATGGCCTAAGTTCCTTTGCAAAAGTTAGGCAATGATGACCTGACAACTACAACAGTTGAAATATTTTTCATATACGATTTTGGGCACTTTTTCTTGCAATACTATATTTCCTATAAAAAAACTATATTGCAACCAGGCTTTAGGTTAAACAGTCTCAGTTATCAAAGCAATTTGATCTCTCTATATAAGACATGACTTGAGAAAGCATCCTTCAAATCTTTATAGAAAAATTAGTGTACAAGACAGCAATGGGCTGAAAGAATTGGTAGAAATTGGCCAAATAGAATGAAAAGCCTGGTAAGCTAGTCGGCACTTTCTAGGACGCCATTGGATTCTACCGGAGACTTGATACAAAGGGTACTGAACTAGCCATAATGCTGTTTGATGAAAATATGTTGTAACTGACAAATAAGCAAGACTTACGGTAACAACTCGTGATATCCAGTGCCCCTTCCTCATTAGATGTCATTCCTGGAGGACACTCTTCACAGTCTGTCATCCCTTCCACATCCTGATAACTGCCAACTGGACACTTCACACAGGCATGCTGGATCCAGAAGGAGCCAGGCGGACACTTTGCTGAAACATAGTTAAAAAGAAATATCAAAGCTGAATGTTGCATTTCTAGCAAGAATAAACATTACGATGTCCACTACTTTTCGTTAGTCACTGGCAAAAAGTAGTCGATGCTACTTGAAACGTCCCTGACAGTTTTCAAAATCTATCCAGTTGCTGGAGTAACTGTTTATTTGGACATTAAACCTTAATTGATACTGTTATATGAAAGAACTGTTATTGTCCATCCTAACGACACTCATTAGGTAATGAGAGTCTAATGAAAGTCTAATAAAAGTGCATGTTGAACGCTTCTGTGGTATACAAAAAAATCAGATACATTCGATAATTATCAATAGTAATTGCTTCATATGGTAACAGCGCTGGCCTTAAGGTGTTTTGTACTATTTGTTATTAATCAGTGAGCTAAAGAAAATACGCTGTAGCTCGACATTTTTCAAATTTCTTTTTGAATACAACGTCGTTACATGCAAAATTACAGTTTCAAGGGTCATCTTGGTACTCACCACACATTGTAGTGGAAGGTACGGAACCTTCTTCACAAAGATATCGCACGCCGTACTGCAGCGTTGCCTCGCTAGGGCTGTGTGTCTGTCCATCCACTTGTACCGTGAGAACGTCACTGTTGATCCAGTCTCTAGTCGCATTGAAGAGTTCTTCCATTCTGGTCAACTGTTCCGTATACAATGCCGTGTCGTTGACATTAGCTGCATCATCTTCAACTTCCATCGTTCCTTCGTAAGAGATTCTCACGTACACAATGTCTTCATCGTCTTCCTGGCGTTTACGGCGAGAAGGCTGGTTTAATTGACAGTTGACGGCCACGACTTCTTTCAGCCTGCAGTCTTCCGTTTCCCAGCAGGAGAGACCCTGGACTTCTCTTTCAACTGAAGTGCTGAGTTGACTTTCGATTGCTTCTTTGTGCTGCTGAGATTGGCAGGCTTGCCCTGAGTATCCATTGTAGGTATCCACAACTATAGTCGATGGGACGGTTACAGCTGAAAATAATTAGGGCATGTTTTAAAACATGGAGAATATACATTATACAATTAGTTTTACATTTCCCTCTCTGTTTTTTATTACCAATTCTAAGGGGGGAATGGGGGGTCGTGTGCCCTACCTAACATCGGACGCTTTGTCACGCGCTCGAACTCACGGCCCTCTATCGCTAGTTGATGAATGAATTTCAAAACATTTGTGTAGAGAACATAATTCTGTATCTGTATCTGTATAGCCGGTATAACCGCCTTTCGGCGTAACACACCAGCTTCGCAGGCACGCGGCTCGGCGGCAGCTGGCTATATTACACCGATCGACTTGTTACACCTAACCCTTGAACTTTTAGCTCTAGACATTGTTTAAAGCTATCTATTGACAATGCCCCTACTGTACTTGGTGACAGTGAGTTCCACTCTGCGATAGTTCTAGGAAAGAATGAATTCTTGAACACCTCAATCCTTGGTTGATAACTCTGGTACTTGAAGGCATGGCTATTTCTTGTTCTCTTCTGGGCTGGTTTTAGGTACTTAGTAGTTGGGACATCCACCAATTGAGTAAGAAATGCACCCATATTGTTCATGGACCTTCACTCTCCGCATTACAAGCGGAAAACGCCGTGAAACGTTTTCCTGAATGTACCTTCGTGAATGGCCGACGCTAGACAGCGTTTTGCAGTTTTTGTAGTGTTGCTGTCTTTAGAACTTAGTGACGGCTTTAAGTAAACGCATATAAGAACTGAATTCTATGATATTTCAGCTTTCTTTTGATGGTAAAATTGCGATCGTGTGTACTTCTCGTCTCACGTGAGGAGGGTTGTATCGAACGAAATCAGTCAGTGCTTTGACTGAAAACCAGGCTTACGCAATCAATGTGGTTCATGGGAATCATGGGAAATGCAGACGATAGTGGTTTTGACGTTGTTTTTCTCGGGTCGGTTTTCTACAAAATAAACACACCGAAATTTGTAAAGTTTTGTAAAGCTTTATGTTCTCATGTATGTAGCAATTGTGTGACTGCTTGGCAAAGGCCGGATTTTTTTTGCGAAATCCGGCCGACGCTACCAAGTGACCCCCTTCTCAGCGCCATCATTATCATTGGCGAAATTCTGTTTTTCGAAAAATCGATAAATAACTATATAGAACTATACTTTGCATGCAAATTACACCTGTATGCACTGACTATAACTATTTGCCTTTTTAATTAGCAAAGTCAGTGGCAACACTTTTGCATAATAACATTTAGTGAAACATCCATCCGAACTTAGGGCACGTCCGAACTTAGGGCACCCCCCGTTAAAGCATTCAATTTTATTCCAAGTCGAAGTCTTTTACAAAACTTTTGAATTAACAGATGTCTTCAAATTTAGGCAATACTTTACATGGTTTATCACACTTGTAGTACAGGAGACTGTAACTGCAGATAGAGCACAACCTCATTAGATAATAATCTAATGAGTAGAATAACTTTGTACAATATACTCATGTCAGATTACAACTGAAATATGATCATCTTTTTACTAGCATGAAAGTTAATCTGAGTTGGTAAAATAAGAATTAAAAAGAAAACATTTTCTTGAGTTGGAAACTGTTTAATTTTAATGACATCATCTTCTTACCTGTGCATTCTGGCAGTTTCCCCTCTATGTTCTCTGTTGACTGGTGAGGCCAGAGGTAAGCTGTTTCAGGTCCACATGTGTACCGCTCCAGGGTTTGCTCTGTGAAACCGTATCCAGTCTTACAGGCAGCAGTACACGTGATCGTTGCGTTAATGGTGTTACAATCCAAGTTCGCCGTCTCTGATGGTGTCAGTTCAATACACTCTGGAAGGAAGTAAAGGTATGGACATCAGTTTATTACTAGCCTTCTGAAAGCGACTACAATACAAATCAAAATGAGCGTATACAAGACGCCGCTTTTATTAGATGCGATACGTCCTGCATTCACTTCCTGGATAAGATTACAATGAATAAAAAATGGCCAAAATCAACAAGATCTAGTACACAGTACCTGGGCACTTGTCTGTGTTGCAAGGTTGTTCCTGACTAGAAGGGCCTTCACATGTCTTCCCACCTTCTGCTGGGGGAGGGTTGTTACATAAGCGCTGACGAGTATGCATGCCACCACCGCAGGTCTGTGTACATGGGCTCCAATTCAGCCACGGACTCCATCTGCCATCACCTATAAAGTAAAAGAAGTAAGTCCAATTTTCTTCATGTGAAAGTGTAAATAATAATTTTAAAAGCAGTACAAACGGTAGAGAAACTGGTAAGTGCAACAAATACAACTGTACCTATTTCGCTAAATTTAATAGCTTTCTGAAACGTTTTGTATAATACTACATAAACTTCCAAAACTATAGCCGTTACAAATTATTTTAATGTACCATGTTACAGTATAGAATTTTCAACTATCCAGACTCAGTGTAAATATATAGGTATATTAGGTCATTGAATTTGATATTGGGTAAACTCACCACGTTTTTCCTGACAGAAGGTGCCAAAGTATCCCTCATCACACTGGCAAGTGTAGTTGGTCTGGCCGCTGTGACAAGTGGCTCCATTTTGACAGAGGCTGACCACACAGAAGTCTATCGGCTGATCACACTGTTGTCCAGTGAAGCCAGGTGGGCAGCGACATTCATAAGACCCGGGGAGGTTAATGCAGGTACTACCAGATGAGCAGGGACTGCTGTCACACTCATTGAAATCTGCAAAGCGCGAGGCAAAGAGTGACTATGATAGTTCTATGCTTACATGTAACACACATTCTATGAAGATATCCTACTGGCAATTCTGTTAGGGCCTGACACCATGTTGTTAGAATCATTTTTTTTCATAATTCAAATTGAAAGTCAACCATTGAGTGAATTTAAGTCTAATTAGGACCTATAGCAGATTGCAAATGTGCCTTTTTTCAAATTTGCTGATCCTCATGGGAAAGGCTGCAACACCAATTTAAGAAAATATATTTTCTAGTCATTAAGTTATGATTAAGAACTCAATGTATTACATCAATGCATCAGGTATGATACCTACCATCACAACGGCTCGGCTCGTGCTCAGCAACTTGCCCTTGTAGTGACCACCTGAATTCTGGCCAAGCCCTGATACTGTTAGCCAGTGCATAACTGCATGATGATGCCATTTCCTTGTGCTCAGCAGTGCGTAGTGCCTGCTCCCAGATGTAAAGTTGGCTTATGTCTCCTGAAAAAGTATCCTCAGCCTGGAATCCTCCTTGATATAAAAAAATACATTGAAATATTTAAAACATGGATTAAAGCAAATGAAATTTTTCATTACTATATTCATTTCCAAATTCATACACTAAACCTGCTTCGAACTAGTAATCACAATTATAGTAAAGGAAAAACCACACATATAGTTATTAGTCAAAATGTCACCAACAAAACTTCCACACACACACACACACACACACACAAACACACACACACACACACACACACACACACAACAACACACACACACACACACACACACACACACACACACACACACACACACACACACAAAACAGACATTCACAGCCACATACAAAACGCACACACACTTAGTTTGCATACCTCCTAATTGAGTCTGCATTTGTCCCAGGACAATGTATCCTCCTGGTAGAATGACGTAACCCCGATGCACGTCTCTTGTTGAGAACACCTCCTCACCGTCCTTGTATACAGCCAGAGAACCTCGGTTGAGCCACTTGACTGCAAGGTGATGCCACTCAGAGTCATCCACCCGCACGTGAGTTGTGACCGATTCACTAAAATTGCATATTAATAGCAGAAATAAATCAGAAATAATCACCAATCATCCTGAAACACCTATATATCAACTTGGAAGTGCAAAAAATGTTTCTATAACGAATTTGAGGTTTTCTAATTTGTGGTAACCCACATATAACTACCACATTGAATTGACATTGTATCGTAAGATTGACATACCCTCCAATAGTGACAATGATATTTCCGGGGTTACTCATGGAGAAGACATTGTCGACGGTGTTTCCATTTTGAGTTGCATAAGAAATGATGGTTCCTCTTGTTGCAGAACTGCGAACCCATGTTCCCATCCTTAGCACTTTCATACTGTCCCGGATTCCATCGGTCAAGATGGAATAGTCTGATGTACTTGATCCAGGAAAATGTAGATCATAGTCTGGAGAAAGCTCTAGAGTAATATAAATTTTGAGAATAAAAATAATTTTGATGAGTTAACAATAACAATAGGTAGAATGCATGACATATTTAGCAAAGTTTTATCAACAAATCTCAATAGCTAACACTTTTATCATTTTTCAGTATCATGACCTCCATTACATACCTGTCTCACAATCTCTTCCAGTAAATCCCGGCTTACAGATACAATTATAGGTACCAATGCCATCATGACACAACGCATTGTCACCACAGGGGCTACTGGCACACTCATCCACATTCAAACTGCAGTTCAGGCCGCTGTATGGAATAAAAACACAATAAAGTTAGACAATTGATCATGTAAAGTCATATTTTACATTGGTTGCTACTTAATAAATTATGACATGACAAAATGACAACCAGAACAATCAGATATTACCATCATGTTAAGATAATAGAAACCTTATTCAAATTTTTTAAATATTAATTTTCGGTGCAAACATTTCACAATCTATAGTAACCATTTGTCCAAGAAACATTCAGAAGCTTAAACATAATTACAAGCATGATAAGCTAAAGGCAAACCTGTAGCCATCTTTACACAAGCATGTGAATGAATTGATGCCATCAATGCAAACCCCTCCATTCTCACAACTTGATGTTTCGCAGTCATCAATGTTCTCGTCACAGAATTCTCCTTGAAACCCTGTTGAGCAGGTGCAGTGGAAGGTGGCCAACTCGTCTGTGCAGGTTGCTCCGTTTTGACAAGGGTTAGGGTTACATTCATCGGTCTCCTCTTCACATCTAGCTCCTTCGTATCCGTTTGCACACCTGCAGAAGTAGTGTCCCAGTCTGTCCTCACATGTGGCACCGTTTAGGCAGTCATGTTCAAGGCATTCGTCAACTTCTTCCTCGCAGTTATTCCCAGTAAACGCGGGCGAACACTCACAGCGATATCCATTCACCATATCCAAGCAGTTCCCTCCATTCCCGCATGGGTTAGGTGTGCAATCATCCTGGTTGACTTGGCAGTACTTCCCTGTCCAGCCTTCAGTGCATGTGCAGTGAATACCTCCATCTTCTTCCTCTACACAGGTGCCACTGTTGTTACAAGGACGACTTGTGCAGGAAACAGTGCGAACGGAGCAGTTCTTACCACGGTAACTCCCTGGGCATTCACATTGGTAGTCATCTACCAAGTCCACACATGTACCATTGTGCTGACAGGGAGCTTCTGCGCAGTCATCTTTATTTATCTCACAGGTGTCCCCTTCCCATCCAGGTGAGCACTGACACGTGAAGCCGTTGAACATGTCTGTACAAGTAGCTCCGTGAAGACAAGGGATACTAAGACATTCGTTGGCTTCTTCACTGCAATGTTCTCCATCATAGCCCTGTGCACACGTGCATGAATAACCATTAACTGAATCTGTGCACGCTCCTCCGTTGAGGCACGGTCTGGAAGAACATTCATCTACGTTGATATTGCAGGTCTGCCCCGCATAACCGTCGTCACAAATACATTCATATGAGCCAAAGCTGTTAATGCAGGTGCCGTTGTTAAGGCAGGGGGAGGTGAAACACTCATCTGTGTCATTGGTGCAGTGCTCTCCTTCCAGCCCTTCTGGACAGATACACGTGTAGGATGAGTTTGTGCTCTCGCAGATGGCGTTGTTGAAGCAGGGTTCACTGGCACAGTTATCAATTGGGCTGTCACAGAAGAAACCTATGGGAAGTGATGGAACAATGACCAGGTGTTAATCTTTTATGTTGTAACAATGCTAACAATTACACAATTATGATGCTAAACATTTTTCCTCCTGTGTTATGGGCAACAAAGTCGATTCAATATACCATTAATCTACCCGGTACATGGATTGATGGAGTTATTTTTATTGCTAAAGTAATTACACTTTCTGTCAAAAGAAAACAAAATAACGCAATTTGTACCTGTATATCCCTGCGGACAAACACATGAATATGATGAGTCCTCCTCTTGACAGGTTGATCCTTGGGCACACTGATTGTTAACACAGCTGCTCTGCAGTTGATCACAAGTATCTCCGTCATACCCAGCAGGGCATACACACATGATTGTCCCGTTTTCCCGAACAGTGCAGGTTCCATTGTTCGCACACGGAGACGGAGTGCATCTGTTGATGACATCCACACACGTGGTTCCAGTGAAGCCATCGTGGCAATCGCACGAGAACCTATTGTGTCCATCATGACAAGTCCCTCCGTTTGAACACGGCTGTGATGCACACTCATCAATATTGTCCTCACAGTGGAACCCTGCATACCCAGGACCGCAGGTGCAGGAGTACAAACCGTCTCCAGAAACTGTGCATGTGCCTCCATTCTGGCAAGGCTCTCGTGTGCAAGCATCTACTACATCTTCGCAAAGTTTGCCTCCTCGATTTTGTGCACAGACGCATTTGAAATCGAACCCTAGGTCTACACAGGTACCGTTGTTGCGGCAAGGGTTGTCTTCACAGAGGTCCAAGTCGGTTTGACATTCTGGTCCAGAATAACCTGAGTGGCACCTGCACTGGAAGCCGTTGACCAAGTCAATGCACGTGCCATTGTTCTGACAAGGATGAGACTGACATTCGTCAATGTTTGTATCGCATGTATCACCACGGAACCCATCATTACACTGGCAGGAGAAATTTGCAACTTCGACACTACTGATACAGGTGCCACCGTTCCTACATGGGTTTTCGGCACACCAGTTTGTCTCCTCCTCACAGCGGGGGCCTTCGTATCCCATGAAGCATCTGCAGGTGTAACCGTTGACTCTATCTTCACATGTACCGTTGTTTTGGCATGGGGATGACTCGCATTCATCGATGTCCATGGCACATTCAGCCCCTTAGAAAAAGGCAACAGAAGTCACAAGCTGATAAAACTTACTATGTAGATTAAAGCGCTGGGACTTACTATTGTGGCCACATGAATAGATCTAGATTATATAATTATGTTTGACTGTACTCATCAAGTAAGATATTATTCAACATTAAAAATAGAGTTGTTTACAGAAGATAAAATTGTTTACAGATAGATACTAAACAGATTTAAAAAAAGACAAAGGCTAAACACAATTGCTAAATTTAAAAGAAAAGAAAGAAAAGAGGGAACAATGCAAGCATCTATTAAAAATACAATTTCCTTACATACGCTTATATGTATAATTGATAATAACAAAAATACTTAACTAACAACTGCTTACCTGAAAAACCATCAGCACAGTTGCAAGTGTGGTTGTTGACTCTATCCACGCAGGTGGCATTGTTTAGGCAGGGTTGAGAGCTGCAGTCATCGATGTTTGTCTCACATTTTTCTCCCTCAAACCCAGCCGGGCAGTTACAGCTCGTGTTGCCAGATGTAAATATACATGCGCCGCCATTGCTGCAGACAAAATTGTTGCACGGATCTATGGATAAAAAGTATAAGTATGGTTTTTAAGGACTGTGTAATAAGGAATATGACGGATATGATAACTATGGTATGATATGATATGTCCTGAGATTTCTATGATGTCAAATATAGATTAAATCACTAGTAATTTTGAAATAAATTGCATTTGAAAGGTATAGGTTATTGCTAGTTTTTGAGAATCATGTACAGGATAGTGTTTCGAGTAATCTAAATGTATTAACAAAAATTATGTAAAGCACGCCTTACCTTTACAGTCATCACTACTGATTGATCCTTCTGTGACAGTTGTCAGATGAGTTTCGCATGGCACACATGTCGTCTTTCCAGTTGATGGCTGGTACCTGCCTCTTGCACAGGGCTGACACGGTTGTACCCCAGTCAGTGAAACGCTTCCAGCAGCGCAGGGCTCTAGAATGAACAAAAAAGGCAGCAAACAATATGATTTGTAAAGATCATAAATATCGAGCATAGTTTATCAGAAACTCACACAGTTAGAAATATTAGCCTAAGAGGCTTGGTGGATGTCACTCCACCGTACAGGTGGGGAAGTCGTGTAAATTGCCCATTCCAAGGGCACAACGTCGGGCCACGGTGAGTACCGAATCCCGGGACCTATTGGTTCCGAGTTCAACGCTCTAACCATTGCGCCACCGACGTCACCGAAATGAAAAGTTTTTAAACGTCTAGCATTGAGATTTTGGGAATTGACTTTAGAAATACTTACCATGACAACTGTCAACAGATTGTGCTCCTGTGGTAACTGTTCTTGTGCCATTTGGACAGGGGATGCATTGTTTTGATCCATTCATGGGTTGGTAGGTGTTTTTCGGACAGGGACTGCATGGCTCGACTCCTGTTGTGCTGTATTGTCCCAGTGGACACATGGCTGCTCAGGTAAGCATAAAATGTGATACATGACATACATAAGTAACGTACAGGAAGTTTGTTTTTTTCCAAACGTACGCAGAACATAAATGTCATAATTTTACATTGCACATGTCAAGAAAGTCTAACTATACAAGTCATGCTTATGCATAATGTAAATAAGTGCTATACAAGATCTTTGTGTATATCAATTGCAATACCTCTGACCGTAATTTGTCCCATTCAATGTTTAATGAAGGTTTGGTTTACCAGCAGTACATTTCGTACTGATGAGTTCTATGATATTGAAAACGCTATCAATGGTTTGTAATAATTTACTTACGTAAGCACTTGGTGAGGTTCCTTGCCTCCTCCCTAACTGTCGTGAAGCCTTCAGGACAGGGGATGCACGAAGTTTGACCAAATTGGTCCTGGTAAGTCCCAACTGGACAGCGCGCACAGTCGTCCCGGCTTCCGTTATAGTATCTTCCAGTCCCACAGCCAACTATCAGAATATGATTTTACGTTAGAAATTAAGTCATGGATTACTAAATGTGGGCTACCTGTTACGTAAGCTCTTGAAAGGACACAGGCCCTGAATTGGATTTGTTGGATAAACAGCTGACCTGGGGTAAACACGCTGAAAAAGTTCAATCTAAAATGACAAGCGCACTAGCTGCATTGACAAGATCAAGGGAATTCATTACAAAAGAAACGTTAAAAACAGTCACACTGACACTTGTTCTAAGCCATTTGGATTATTGTTCGTGTTTCTTGTCGGCCTGTCCACAATCTCATTTGAACAAACTTCAAATTATTCAGAACAAAGCTGTCAGATTGGTTTTAAACGCCAAGTACAACTCCAGCTCGGACAATATGCACCGAATATTACAATGGCCCAAAGTTAATGACAGATTGTACACAGGAACACTCTCCATGTTTAATAAACTTCTAATGGCTAAGCGACTAGAATCCATCTACAAACGTTTACAAAGAGTCACTGACACACATCAACATAACACTCGCTTAGCACATAGAGGTGGCTTCAAATTGCCGAAGCCGAAAACCGCCTCAGCCAAAAGAACATTTCTGTACCGATGCATCAAAACTGACAACTTATTTCCTGAACACATCAGATTGTCTGCACCTACAACTTTTAAGAAACATATCAGGGATTGGCTGAAAACTAAAGTGGACACTTCCCAACCTCTGCAATCATGGTGGTAGTGCGATGACTGATGTATAGAATTACTTGTTCTTAACTGTATTGAGACCTCTGACCTCTCAGCAGTTTTAAACCCAATGTTGTATTCTCATTTCCCATGTCGCATTTCATTGCTATGTTGCATTTCATTTGCCATGTTGTATTTAAGTTACGTTCGCTTCTTGTATATGTATGTATGTATAGTATAACGCAGTGTTTGTATTCAAACGACTCCAGGAAGACTAGTGTTGTATTATTGTTGTACGCACTAATGGAGATCGATCAAATAAACAATAAACAAACAAACAATTGATTTAGCAAATTAAGTACCAGAGTCATCAACCAAGGATTGAGGTGTTCAAAAATTCATTCTTTCCTAGAACCATCGCAGAGTGGAACTCCCTGTCACCAAGCACAGTAGGGGCATTGTCATAAGATAGCTTTAAACAATGTCTAGAGTTAGATATTCAAGGGTTAGGTGTAACAAGTCGATCGGTGTAACGCAGCCAGGTGTTTTACGCCGAAGGGCGGATATACCGGCTATACAGATACAGAAGTAATATGTGGGGTCTTGTGGTGTAGCGACAGAGTGCTCGGCTCGGATTCAAGAGGTCCCGGATTTTGTGCCCTTGGGAAAGGCACTTTACACGACTTTCCTTACTTCGCTCAGGTGAAAATGAGTATTGTATTGTCAACTGTGTTTGTGGCGGCATTAATAAAACTTGAGTGTGCCGTCACCACGTCTTGTGATTAGATGTTGGAATATAGAAAAAAAATTACGTTACATGGAATATCATCACCCTGGCTTATAAAAAGATTATTCTGAGAAACATTACCTTAAGAAACATGTTCAATGTTGTTTCATTTACAGCGACAGACCAAATGGTGCACTTACCACATTTTAGTGAGTTATAATTGGCTGTATATCCATAGTCACAAGCCAGATAAGACCAGTCGTCACGCCAAAAGGATGCAGCATCAAGCTCTGTCTGCAGTCCGGGTACGTTTAAGGATTCGCCATGTGTGTTCAGGACAGTAGAGAAATTGTCCGCGATTTCTATCAGCCTTTCCTCCGAGGCCAGCCAATCACTCTCGGTCAGCACACCACCGGGCGGAATGCTCAAACCAACACGGAACTGGAAATTGATTGTTATGGTATGCGTGTTGATTGATCTACGCTTTCGGCGTTTTCCAGCTGCAGATATGGGTCCACAGGTGATTTCGACGCCGTCCACCGAACAGCCATCGGACGTACTGCAGAAGCCACTGCCTGTAACCAGCTGAACAAAGGCTGTAGCTATACTGTTTTTAGTATTCGGATCTGTGCAATCTCCAGAGAAGTACTGAAGTTCAGATGGAAGCCGGTTACTTCTTGGGTTTCTCCCAACTGTGATGAAAGTAAATTTAATATACTACTAAACATGATTGTATTTGCATGTTTCCTCCTCCATTCGGCTTAAAAACTTATAGAAAAGAAAGATGGAAATGTAACTTTTAATCTGGATGTGAAAATCATCCGTACAGCAGCCCTAACACCATGAAAGTTGTGCTGTTCATGTACATCGTGTATCAGTTTAAGTTTAACTCATTAATTATGATATTTCAAAATGCTGTCACGTGGTTTGATTTAATCATGAAATATTATTGACAGATGTCATAACATTTTACCTGTGCAGTCTGGTACGTTGTCATGGGGTGTCCAAATTCCATCATTTCTGCACAGGTATAGCTTTTCACCTGACTGTCCTCTCGGGATGTCAAATGCTTCATTGCACAGGAGGGTGCAGGTCAGACGATCTCCCCAATCAGCACAGGACAATGCCCCATTCTGTGGTGGATCCAACTCTATGCATTTAATCGCTAGATTAGAAAAAGGAATTCGAATTAGGTCAAAGTTTTTGTGAACACATATCATCATTCTTAAAATAGAATTCAAATTAACATCTTACTCCTACATTAGCATCATCTCTTAAACCGGATTTAGTAATATGGTCCGAGGATCGGAAAGCTGTACGTATCATTGAGGGAACCATCCCTTTGGAAGAGAAAGAACAAGCAAAGAAGAAAGAAACTGAGATACGACGATCTGGTCCAGCAGTGCAAGCAGAGAGGCTGGCAGAGGCGACTGTACTCAGTAGAAGTCAGTGTCAGAGGATTTGTAGGGGCTTCCTTCATGCGTCTGTGCAGGGACTTCAACATCAGGGGAAAAGCCCATACACAGCTCACTAGACAGGTGACTGAAGAGGCGCGAAGCAGCAGCTTCGTGTTGTTGAAGAGAAAGGATAAGGCGTGGAAGTCCTTCCAGAGAAGTGGCGACAGTGCCGGAAGCGGAGGAAACAGGCACCCCGAGACGTCTTGGCGTATCGTTCTTGTAAGCCGTGGGAGATTGTCTTGTATTTCTTTTAATGAATGAATGAAAGACCTTTATTGTACGTTTGTGCTCTAACAAGCTAAGTACAGGTCATGGGTAAACAGGGAAAAGAATACAGCAATGACACTTACAAACTATCCCTAAACAGTACACTTGGGATCCGCGCGGACCCCAGCGCTATATATTTTGTAATATTTTTTTTTGTTTCTAAAGATTTTTTTCTGAAATTTCAGGCAATTGTCACCCACAAAGTTGTCTCTCAATACAGTGCAGAAAACTCAGTTTCTACCATTTATAAAAAAAATTATATCTGATTTTCTTTTGGGGTCCGCGCGGACCCCAGCCGGCTTTCGATCGTAATGGATACACTGGCGTTCTTTTACATTACTTTATTTCAGTTTATATATGTTTTTTATGTACTTATGTATGGCCACCAAATTTTCAGAGAATGGTGTACTAATAGAATTAAATTCTCAGCTTTGGTGTAATTATGACGTCATATGACGTCAGAGCTAATAATATGGTCCGCCATCTTGGATTTTGACCAATGACGTCATCAAACTAGCATATATTATGGATATTAAATGACTTAAGTTATCTTGATTACTATTATAAAGGACTATGATGATGAAGTTGTCTTTAATTATGTAAGATGTTATTAATGTGAGAAAGGAAGTGTTATTTGATATAAAACCAAGAAAATTTTTATGTTTAAACCAAAATTACTGATTTTCCCCCAAAACTGCCTGTCAGAAACCCGTTGCCATGGCAACACAAACAATCATAACTTAATTAACTTATATAAAATTTTTCCCAGTTACATTTTAGGAAAGTTCACCAAAATTGATGGTTCTAGCTCAAGCCGTTCAGGCGCTATCTGAGATAAAAGTTGGCGCGGCCCTAAAAAAACACTCGGTCTAAATAGGGTTTAAAAATCGGGTATTTCTTCTTTTTGTCTTTCCTTTACCAAAAAATAGGAAAAGGTCAAAATTTATGATTTTTGTACGTAATGTTGACTCAAAGGTTCACACATCAATTTGCAAAACAATTGAGCTGGTAGTATGTCGATAATTTGTAAAAAGTAGCAAAAAACTGCTCTGGGATCCGCGCGAACCCCAGGTGTACAGATTAATCAGTCCGGGAAGGTGTACTGTTGAGGGCTATACATACTAATGTGATCTACTATTTACAGGTTCAACTTCTTCTCGTTTCTTGACGCAGTTTAATGCCCACGAGCATCACACTGATCATTCTGGCATGCCAATTCTTGGCGTGACTCCGGATTGTGGAATTTGTACCATCGCATACCAGGTTTTTCGAGGTGTGGTGGGTTCTTTAACGTGCGTGGGGTGTGGGTGTCCCCAAATACGGGACCTCCATTTAACGAGGGACGTCCCTAACCGAAGCTAGGTACTCATTTACACCAGAGTGAAGTGAGGAAAGTCGTGTAAAGTGCCTTTCCCAAGGGCACAAGATAGGTGACATGGGTGGGGATTTAACCCGAGACCTCTAGTGTAATTACACGCGGATAAACGGCGCACGGGCGGACACAGCCGGGCAGACAGGCGACCGAGCGTGCGGTAGACATTACGTACGACGAAATTCCTGAGCACGTGTAGCCCCACGTTATTTGTCATCAGGTCATGGGCTGTGTTTGCTGTCACGAAATCACGGGTACTTGCAACCAAAAAACACGGCGCCTACGCGGACACAACCCGACAAATGAGCGCCCATAAGCGCGGTACACGTGATGCAGAAAGCCACATCACAAAATGTGTCACACATATACACATCACAATTGTGTTCACGTGCCAGATGTAATAAATATAAATACACGGACCATGGGAAAGGCAGCGCTCTTGTGCGGCGTGTGGTACAGGTGGTACAATGGTGTGTGGTTAGTATATGGAGACGGTATGGAGAAGGGCCATGACAAAGGCAGCGCTCTTGTGCGGCGTGTGGTACGGGTGGGGCTACACGTGCTCAGAAATTTCGTCGTACGTAATGTCTACCGCACGCTCGGTCTCCTGTCTGCCCGGCTGTGTCCGCCCGTGCGCCGTTTATCCGCGTGTAATCACTTGCGATTTCTGATGGCTTACATGGGAACTACGCAGACGTCTTAGGCAGAAAGATGCGAAACGTCGAGGAAGGGAGGTGGTAGTAGTAGAATGGTTTATTTCCAAATTGCAAACTCCAGACATACACAATTTATGAGATGGCACCGTCGACCCTTGGAAGTTCCATGGTGCTGAGAGGCACATCAAGCTAAAGTATCAGCTAGGCAGGTCAGTTTCGATATGTATGTCCAATTACAACTAAAATGTGCTCTATATAACAGGTTTATTTTGTCATATACATGGAATCAATGACAATGGATATTATTGGGGTATGCCACAACATAATCGTAGGGAATATAGAAAGTGTTTGTACCTGTCAATGTTATCCTGAACGAACAAACAGCACTCTTCCCATTGTCAGGATTGGTAGCGGTGTAGGTGACGAAATGTTCACCTAGGGTATAGGTTGAGCTTGAAAACTCTGCAGGGTTTGGGACGATGATAAGGGGGTCGTGTGTGAGTTCTTCAAACGCCGGGGGATCCCAGCTGATCGGTGTGTTTGCTTTTGTTGTTGTCTGAGCTATGTCGGCCGGACAGGACTTGACAACCGGTAATAGTTCATCTGCAAACAGGCAATTGTGTATTGTTGAATACAACAAGCAAAGTGTGACAATCACATAGAGGAATAGAGAAGTGGGATGGACAAGAATCAAGAGGGACTTAAGATATGTTGAAAACTAACATTACTTTTTAGTTCTCCATGACAAAGATTTACGAGAAACTACATAATATTATGCCTAGTGAAATGAGATTGCGATTGTATCTTTGTAAGTTAAAGTACAGTAGTTTTATTTGTTTGTTATCACAGTATGTCAGCATTTTCTTAGTTTAAAGGGATATAAATTGTTGTCCGTTGCCTTGAATGTAAATCGGAAAACGGCACTCCACAGAGTTGTTAGTCGCATCGTAGAACGTGTAGATGACTTCGGTGTCTTGGCTGAAGTTGTGAGGTGGTGCTATCCCTGCTGGAGTCACTTCTACCCGCAGCTGACCAGGTGCGTTATCTATGGCAGTAGGCACCTCCCAGCTGATGGTAACTGTGGGGTTTGTTCCTTCAAGAACCCCACTCTGTGGTCCAGGGCAGCTTAGGAGGTGAGGAGATGTCATGTCTGGGGAAAGGTTTTAAACTCATCAGAATGGCTTGTTCTTGATGATCTATCATAAATTTTTTATCATTCATAAAAAATGTCAATAAAGTTAAATATGTCGATATAGCTAAATTTGTAGCACCTTTAGCTTTGTTGCATACCTTTGCATTCTGGAGCGGTGGTATCACCATCCCAAGTCCCACTGGACGTGCAGGTCAATGCTCCAACATCCGGGTCCAGGTCGTACCCACGCCTGCAGAAGTACTGGCACGCCGTACCATATGTTGGCAAAGTAGTACAGAAGGATGGATACAGATCACCGTTTTCTGGTGGAGTCAGGCCGCTGCATGTTGCAACTGCAGAAAGGTATCAATCAAATCAGTCGAATGGTGTTTTATTCATAAAAACGTGGACTTTGCAGCCAAAGGCTGAATTACGTCCAGTTGTACATGCAAATTCATTACACATTTATTTACATTTATTTACACAGGCATTAACACAAATATCCACATCATTATTGACAACGTCTTTGACATACCGTCTAAGACAAACAGTGAGTGTTCAATAGGTGGATCATATATGGGACGCTAGTCTGTTTGTACCGCTCAGTTCTACATTTGGTAAGAGTCAGTTTGTTACTGGAACGAGTGGTGCGCTCAGTGGTGGTTCCCCTCCTGGGCAGTAGCCAGTGTTGGAAGTCCTGTGATCGGAGAACTTTCCTTTCGAAGGTAAACGATCACACTATGTACAGATGGCCACAAGAATGTGATCATAATAGATTGGAAAGAAAGCCTAGTCTTCCAAGTAAAGATTTGTCTTCAGATTGAAAGAATCTACCTACTTGTGCAATACGGCTGCGCTTCTCTCTCCCAGTACATGACTGTCCCGTCAAATTCACAGGTGGCGTTCTTCGATCCCGACAGCTGGTACCCCGTTGAGCACACCACCTCGCAGGTGGTACCATAACTGTTGTCACAGCTTCCTCCGGTGAAGTATGCGTAGATGGGAGGCTGGAGCAGCTGGCATCGTCTCACTAGAGATTAAGGTAAAGGACATTCTCTATATGTTGTTAATAACAATGTGACAATGCTATTTCTGTTCTAATATGTATTTTCTACACTCGTATGTTGCACACTTTTTTTGGGTTCCTTCACTATAACTAAATATCATATATTTCAAGATGTTTGAGATCAAAAGTTCTACAGCTGTGAATACCAAATGTGTAAATTCTATGCAAAATGTTATGTCAACACAGTATACTGGTACTTTTGAAAGTCAGATCGAAGCCGTTTTTGTCCGGCGTCCATATACTTCAATCTAAAATGAGTTGAAATCCTCACCAGTAACTTTTACAGTAAACTCGCATGTTTGTTGATTGCCTGTGCCATCTGTTGCCACGTACACAACGTCATGTTCCCCAACCGGAAGTACGCATGGACAAATATTGGAGGTAAGTGAAGGAGGTTCCCCTGAGTTGTCTTCGGCTACTGGTAGGGTCCAGTTGACGAATGTTTCGGTGCTTCCTCTGTCAGCATAAACACGGATGTCTTGGGGACAATAGCTGAACCTTGGTCGCTCAATGTCTGCAACAAGGAAAAAGTATATCCTGACATATAAATTAGTAACGTTATATCATATAAGTAATTCTAATGTTAAATCGTTGAATTACGTCATGATAGGATCTGAAATTATTATGCCAGTAAAATCTGAAAATCTGAAATTTTTACACCAGTAGCTTGAACTGTCAGTAAAACTGATAACCGAATAAAACTTACCAATACATGTCAGGTTGCTAGTGTCCCTTGTCCATTGTCCATTCCCCAGGCAGGTTGTAAATTCATGGCCAGCAGGTTGTAGTCTGTACCCTCTCTTTTGACAGGTGTGAATACAGGTGTCTAGATAGGAAGGATCGGACGTGCAAGAGGCAGGTACGGTTTGATACACGGCGGATGCTCTCAGTGGCGAACACGTCCGCTCTGGAATGACCATAAAGTCTGTATTAATCAATGACGTTTCAACTTCATTCGTTTTTCTTTCCCGACATTTCCGCCCTTTTCAAAGATTTGGTTACATAAAATTATTACTCCGTGAAGGAGGTCAGGACCTCCGGACGGAGTGTTGTGAAGAGCTGTTTTTTCGTGTTCGCAGTCAAAACACTGGGTTCCCTTTGTGTGATCGGCACGCAATTTTATACGCCGTCTGCGGGCATGCCCGTGTTGATGCACGAATGTGTATTTTTGCCGTTGCTGTTTTCGCGGTCAATGTAATATTTCAAATGCACCCCTACAATTATGAGGCAAATTGGAATGGTCCAGAAAAACCCGTTGTTTGGAATAGCGGTGGGGGTGGGGGTGGGGTGGAACTTCATGCAGACGCAGGGATGGGTCTATAAGTGGTACCATAGATGTTCGCAGCCAAAACGCATTGTTCCGTACGTAGCATTTCTGTGTAATTTGGCATGTGGTGTGCCATTATGCCCGTGGTGATGCACGTCTTTTTATTTTTACCCTAGCAGTTTTGATATTGGAGTAAATGCTTATTTTTGAAACATCCCTATAATGTCGTTTACATGTTTTCGCCCGGGTATCTGACCGGCGGTAGTAACACTCGCGGTGCTGACCGCAACTGTAGCTGGAATTTGGCCTGGCCAGTAGCGCTTAATAAGTAACAGGAACGGTAAGACGGTGGGGCTGTCTCTGTTACTAGTGACACGACCATGATAGTCCGAACTTTATGTGAATGCAATGATTGTGTGTGTGTAATTAAAATGAACTTCGAACTTGAAGCACAGTATCTTTACACGCCCTAGGAGCAGTAATGGATTTAGGTCTTTTTACGTTTTATGGTTGTGACGCGCCCTCATTGTATTAACCGTTGCCTAATGTCTGCACAGTAGGTCTGGCGTTGACGCTTGGGATTATTTTTGTTGCAAAATGTAAAGCTTCACGGAGGATTGTCGCCTATGGCTTCTTGTTAACATTTAGTGCTTCAGTCGCACATTTTGGACACAAAAGTTTTACAATCTTTAATCATAAATTTAAAACAAGAAGCCATAGGTGACAATCCTCCGTGAAGTTTTATATATTTCAACAAAAACAATCCCAAGCGTCAACGCCAGACCTACTGTGCAGACATTATAATTAGGAAACGGTTAATACAATGAGGGCGCGTCACAACCATAAAACATACAAAGACCTAATTCCATTACTGCTCTCAGGGCGTGTAAAGATACTGTGCTTCAAGTTCGAAGTTCATTTTAATTACACACACACACAATCATTTCATTGACATAAAGATCGGACTATCATGGTCGTGTCACTATTAACGAAGACAGCCCCACCGTCTTACCGTGCCTGTTACTTATTAAGCGCGACTGGAACAGACCAGTCGCGGCCAGCACCGCGAGTGTTACTACCGCCGGTCAGATAGCCGGGATATCTGCTTAGAGAACCTCTGCTACCAGACAACTGCCTAAACCTACGGCCTATTCCACAGGATTGTAAAAGTAGGGATGTTTCTAAAATATGCATTTACTTCAATATCAAAACTGCTACGGTGAAAATAAAAAGACGTGCATCATCACGGACATAATGGTACACCACATGCCCAATTACACAGAAATGCGACGTACGAAAGAATGCGTTTTGGCTGCGAACATCTTCCAAAAAACTTGCCATCTCTTAAGCATGGGCAAAAACATCTGGAACCACTTATCAAAACCACCCCGTATCTGTATGAAGTTCCAACCCCCCATTGCTATTCCAAACAACGCGTTTTCCTGGACCATTCCAATTCGCCTCGTAATTGTAGGGGTGCGTCTGCAATATTACATAGACCGCGAAAGCAGCAACGGCAAAAATACACATTCGTGCATCAACACGGGCATGCCCGCAGACGGCGTATAAAATTGCGTGCCGATTACACAAAGGGAACCCAGTGTTTTGACTGCGAACATGAAAAATCAGCTCTTCACAACAAAATACATATAACTGAGTGAACAAGAGGGATACCTATAGAATAAAAAAAAATACATGCAAACCTTCACATCTGAATTGTTCAGGGTCTCCACTCCAGCTACTGTTCGCTAAGCAGCGAGCCTTACTTTCCCCCACACCACCGTACCCATACGGACAGTGCAGCTGACAGGTTGTGCCGTATCTCTCAGTCTGTGGGGGCTCAGAGAAGCAGCCGGATTTGATGACAGCTTCATTCGTCTGGACCGCTGGACATGTTATGGCTGGGGCAACATACAAAAAGATTTGCTCCACATTTATGATTTTTCTACATCATTTACTTGTACTTCATATAGATTTCAATCTACATTACTCCATCAAAGTTTGCAATTGAAGTTGCTTTATCACATAAATATTAAGAAAATTCATAATTTTCGAACCATTATTGAATAATATTTATAAAATGAAGTCAATGTCCCTGATCAGAGCAGTTTTAAATTACTTTATCTGTGTTGATGTAAGCCCAACATTTTATCTAAACTAAAATTTAAAAAAATCACCTCTATTATTAGTCTATTGATAATCCTTACCTTGACAGGTTGTTTCATTCCCTGACCAGTAGGCAGATCCAAACTCATCAAGCTCACACGTGTGGGTGACGGGACCGTTTAGTACATAGCCCTCGTTACATTTGAAGCTGCAGGATGACCCTACTGGTGTGTCCAATGAGCAGCTGTCGTAAGACCCTCGCAGTGGTGCAGGGAGACGCTGACATCTTTGTACTAAATGACGACAATAAAGGTGCATCATTAAGTACGAATGATGTCAATCTAATCGATATTTGAATGTAGAGTTATATGATACTATTCTAAAATCGTACTAATGTACCAATGTGTGAATCTTTTGATGCAACATCCATTAAAGATTAACTGTATTGCAAGACGTGTTGGTTGATTTCAAAGATACGTAAATACAAGTTTAATTCCACCAGACTCCTTTCCAGGCTGAATTAATTGTAGAAATTGGCCTGAAAGGGAATGTGCTAACTAACTGGTCAAGTGAGTTAGCCGGCCATAGCGGGTCCAATTTGCCTGTAGGCAAACTATACCCAACTAGACCCTCTATGCCCGAATAAGTCCCTTGGCCATGCCAGTTACATTCCTTTTGGGCCGATTTCCACTATTTATTTAGCCTGGAAAGGAGGCTGGTGAAGACTAGTTATTAACAAATACAGGAAGCTTACCATTGACACGAATGTGGACAACACATTGCCGGGCCAAGCCAGTTGCATCCATTGCCGTGTAAATTATTCTTCTGGTTCCTTCCGGGAAGATACTGCCAGGACCCAGATTATCTGGACTCCTGTAGAATAACGGTATAATTCGAATTAGTAATTATAGTACTCATTTACAATTCTATAAAGACAAACTTGTGTATCCTGTTTGGATATGTATGATGGTCGAATGGAATACAGGATCTTTAAAAGTGTTTGATGCATTTAGCAATAATAATCACTAGGTTGCCTGTGCCATGTGCAATAGTGTAATGTGCACTTTTTTAATTCCATAGCATGCATTCACTTCATCATGCTGTACGGTCGTCATACTAATCGTGATAGTCAATGGTAAACTATATTTTGCAAAATAAATTCAGGTTAATTATTGTCTTCTCAGTACAGAGCATTTACTTTAGTATGTTACACTCACTTTAGCATGGTTACATTTCCAGAATTATCAGTTGCCACTGGTTCCATGAATGATACCATAGCTTCGGTTGTGCCACTTCTGGCACCGGCATCGATGTACTGTGGACAGGCTACTGTGAATTGAGGTGCCTCTTGATCTGATATAAAATGTAAAAAAAATAGTTGACTTGACAATTAGGGTGATATAGAGCTACTCAAAACTAAAGCAACTAAGGGAAAGATGATTAAGTTTAAAGAATAGTATAGAATATGATATATTTTGTGCTAAGAACAGCATCAGTATATTATTCATTTGGTTTTGTCAGTTTTTTTTAAATATTACTATACCATGTAATGTTCTTGTGAATATATATGGTATTCAGTTCAACAACGTAAATGATAGACTGTACTAGAATGAGGACACGTATTTTTAGACGCACCTTTGCAGCTGGTGTTTCTTACATCACTCCATGTGCCGTCAGAAAGGCACTGCTTGAAGATAGGCCCTTGTACCAGGAAGCCATTGTTGCAGGAGAACCTACACAGGGTGCCATAAGGAAGGGATGTGCTGTTGCCGCACTCTGAGGGGCTGACTTGTCCGTTCGTCAAGGAGAAAGAGGCGCTACAGAAAACCTCTGTAGACATTTATACAAACAATGTACACAAGTTTTTTTGTCAATAGTGCCGCATGCCACGACATAACGTAAACAAAATATTTTTCTATAAAATCAAATGCAAGCAGAGTTTAATTGTTTCTTCTTTTGTCATTTTTGGTAGATACTTTCTTTTTATTTAGTGATGACTATACACCACTTTCAGTAGTCATATAGTCTTGCTCGACAGAAAATTTGTACGTTGCTAGATAGGAATACGCTCCTTCTCTTAACAGCGATATTTATATCTCTTATATACGGATACATTAGAGATTGATTAAAATATTTTGACATAGATTCAGTGCAGGAGTATCATTTCAAATACAAGAATAAAAGCTGAAGGCAGACTTACCTTGTAGGCTTTATATAGTTTTAGTGTAAGGAAATCAATGCGAATGTAGTAATATGCTAAACTTACCTTCACATTCGAAAGAAGGCACTGTCCAAGATTCATCTGCTTTGCAGCGACTGTTGACTGACACATGGCCACTTGGACTCTTGTGACCAGTGTTACATTGGAACTGACAGATGGAGTTGTACTCCGTTACGTTTCCTGAGCATCCGGACACGTAGCCGTTTGGTACCTCAGGAATAGTACATTGATTTGCTGTAAAAACATGAAAACTATCATTTCCACAGTATACTTATCAATGTTCCAGAAATATATTCAAATTAACTTCTATGATCACCAAAATGCGTTTACAGGCCACGAAAGTGCTATCAATACAGGTGATCATGTTTGAATGAGAAGAAAAATAAAATTGATACTGTGTCTTTGTGCTTTATTAGCCATACTAATTTTCTTATATCAAAATGTCATAATTTCATTCGGCTTTAGAAAAGGATACTCTACCTCAATGGCACTTATACAACTAATAGATAGAATAACTACAGCTATTGATAACAATGAATATACCATTGGTATATTTTTAGATCTAAGTAAGACTTTCGACACTGTTATCATTCGATTCTTTAAAAAAAACTTAACAAATATGGCATCAGAGAGGTCGCACTTAAGTGGTTTACCAGTTATTTATCCGATAGAAAACAATACGTTGTCCTTAAGGATAATTCTTCTTCCTGCAAACCTATAAATTGTGGGGTTCCCCAGGGATCGATTTTAGGGCCCCTATTATTTTTATTATATGTAAACGACCTTGCTGAAGCATCTAAAATTATGTTCTTCATACTATTTGCCAACGATACTAACCTCTTTCTTTCACATGCAGATTTTGATTCTCTAATTCAACTAGCCAAGAATTAGTAAAAGTTATTACACGGTTCGAAGCAAACAAACTATCAGTTAATATCAAAAGACCTACTATCTTATCTTTTGTAGCAAAAAAAAAGACAAATAAGAGAAAAAATCCCACCATCTACTTAAAAAAACACATCCTCTCCAAAGAATCTCAGGCTAAGTTTTTAGGAATACAAATAGACGACCGATTAACCTGGAAGCCTCACATTGCCAGCAATTGGGATCATAGGGAAAATTAGACATCTTTTATCCAAAAAACCCTTTATAACCATTTATAAAAGTTTAATCTACCCATACCTCGCATATTGCAATATTGTCTGGGGAAATGCCTACAAAACCTTTCTGCATTCTATATCAATTCTACAAAAAATTTCTACGCATTGCCACTGGTTCTAGTCTCTACACCCACTCTTGATCTCCTCTATTAAAAAAGACTTAGACATTTGAACATTCATGACACAAACAGATTTCAACTTGCACTTTTCGTAGCCCAATATATAAACCATAAACTCCCGGATACATTTGATGATTTTTTTAATTCTTGTTCACAGATTCACAACTATCAAACTTGTATACGTTCCGATTTTATATCCCCCGAGTAAAAACGTCTCTTGCCCAAATGTCGGCTAGATACAAAGGTGTCACCTTTGGAATCAACTACCCCCAGCCCTAAAGAGTCCTACCTTGTCTTTTCTCTCATTCAAGCAAGCTCTGAAAAACCATCTGATAAACGAACCTAGCCCCCTGTAGTAGTTTCATTTACTGTTTTTTTCTCTTATTTTAACTCATACTAATTATTATCATTATCATTATTGCACTGCATTTATAACTTACATTACCTCATTTCATTGTCATTAATTTATACCGTATATTATTTGTTTATCCTTATTGTAGTATTTCCATTTTCTATTGTATTATTTCCATCAGATTATATTTAATTTTGTATAGTTTACAGAAGGGCCTTGTATAAGCATTCCATGCTTCTACCCTCCTCCTGCACCTGTTTTTATCCTTGTTTTGTATTATTACTGTCTGTGTTGTTTAATGTGCACTCTAATAAAATCAAATATTGTCTGCAATCTATGATCATCTTGAATTATAACTCTTGCTATATCTCAAGGCAGATTGTCATAGCCAATTATTTGAGTTGAACCGTTTTTAGCGTATAGTATAACCTGCATGTCTAACCTTCACCGACGCGTCGTTTTACTAATCCTGATTATTTTTTAAGTAATAATGCAAAACCTTCATACCTAAGTAGACAGACTTGCCTGATTTTAGATACGTGATTATCGTATTTTGATAGCTACTCACGTTCACAGTTGCCAACAGTTCCTTTCCAAGTACCAATCGTTGTTGAGTCACTGTTTCTGGTGCAGTTAAGGAGGGTATCTTCAGTGTCAGTCAGGCGGTACCCACTTCTACAGGACTGTCTACACTGGGATCCATACACAGCACTGCTACAGCTGACTTTACCGAGCACAAGGTCCAGCTGCCCAAAGGGTGGAGATGGTGGGAGAAGTACCGGGCATCTGGTCACTGTGTAAAGTGAGAAGGGAGAAAACCGAATACGATTCAATAATCGCAAAGTATCTTTGCTTGACTTTGTTTCGATTGGCTGATATTCAATTCAATCACAAATACTCAGCATATTGATAAAACAAAACGTTATGGTTGGAGCCAAAAATAGTCAAATTTAGTTGATATTATAAGGCATTACTGTACCATTAAATGTTAAAAAGAGTATGTTCAGCAACAAATGTTACAACGAAAGAAAGGTACGTTACGTATGCTCATTAAATACCTTGGACAGTGACTTTAAAGGTACAGGTGGTGGTCAGGCCAGCATCATCTACTGCTTCATACTCAAGTACGTAGACTCCTTCTGACAACGTTGGAGGTTTTACAGTCACCACTTGCGCATTTATCTTTGATAAAGTTGCATAGTGTGTCAGTCCACGGTCGGTAGCCTATGGAAATTAATTGAAATAACATGTTACTAATATTCAACAACAACCAGACATAATTCAATGGACCTATACCATTATTACGTCACAGTTTGTTTACCTGTTCTAAAGAACATTCTAGAACGGCCAGTTGAAGAATAAAGATCATTTTAAAGTTTTCAAAGTAAGGTATGTCTGATTTTTGCCGCGTCTAGTTGTGTTGACACAGCATTACATGCCGCATGGGTGATTTAGTTGTGATATTAGACGAAAGTAGTACTGTATTAAAAACCTTATATTAGGCTAACGCTACACAAACACACACCGCGCTACCCACCCCTGCACAAGATAAACGTCGATTGACCGGCATTCATTGCGGTAAACAAACTGTGACGTAATAATGGTATAGGTCCATTATCTGCCCGGAGATATAGACATTTTACAAGATTTCATTTTCATATTCATATTTGCCTTATTTTTTTTTAGGAAAGTTGATACCCTTACCTTAACTGGTTCCCATGACCAATTCGGATCGTATGATATCCTCATCTTCTCTGTGAAGTACACTTGGTCATTTGGGCAGTAAAGTAGTGGACTGGTTACGTCTGAAAATAGCATCAACAACAAAAGTCTGTTTTTAATATACATTTTAGATGGTTCGTCTTTACAATTACAGCTCAATGTTTCTTCATCCTACCGATTCCGTCCTTATCTGTTAGGGTCTACCATGATTGTTGATGGATACTTCATAGTAAACTCTTTGACACTAGTTGTTGCATAGATTTTTGCGAATTCATTTCTGGCCCCGCGTACCGATTGTTCAAGGGTGTACGGAAATCAAACTAATAGTTTGTATGTTTGTTTGTCCTTACCTTCACATTGTAACTCACTGCCATCCCAGGTTGCCATCTCGGTGCAGGTACGTCTGAGTGTTCCCCCGGTGACAGTAAAACCTTCGTCACAGGTCATGCTGCAGACCGTGCTGTACTTCTGATCAGTCTCAGGATCGGTTTCATCACTATCATACTGACACCATTCGATTGAGCCATTTCCTGGCTGCTGTGGAGCTGGACATTTCACAACTGTAAAAGAAAGTAAAAAGGTCAAAACATGGCCATTAACATGGTCTACATCTTGTTTTGGTCTTTCGACATCGATACTGACATTTGTCGTTCGCTAAATTAAAGTCATTAAGCAACTCACCACATTTGCTTTAATAAGCCCAACAGTAATTGAAAAAGAAGTTTTACCGCAATTCAAATGAAGTCAAGCTAAATAATAACAAACTATGATAGAAAGGGACTGTACGAGCAACCTCCATGCAGAGCTCCTCAATGGAGGTTGATCGTACAGCTTGGTGACTACACTTTTCATCACAATTTTCACGCAGATTGTTGAACTCTTAGATTCAACTCACTTTCACAGGAGGAAAATTTGTCGTCGTCCCACTGTCCTTCGGTTGAATTATCGCTGTTCTCACAGGTGACGTGAACATCTCCCTTTGGTAAATAACCAGTCAGACAGGATAGCACACATGTTGTTCCGAAGTATTCTTCTTCATTTGGACAGCCACTCTTCACACCATTTGTCGGTGTGGGAAGCTCACTAGCATGACACGTTTTCGCTGCAAACATCAGAACATTATGGATCACAGTGCAACTTTGGAAAGAAGAGTGGCATGCAAGTTGTACAATGTCAATACATGAATATACAGCTACACATATTTTGCATTCAATGGCTTTGGGCAAATCACGATAAGGCCACACCGGCTTAATTTTGTGGATGACATCCTCGCGCGCATTGATTTTCACATGTTCTAAAAAAATAAAAAGATCACGTCCACCGTCCACCAGGCTCTGGCGTGGTTTTAGGCATGGATAGTCCATGGTAGTCAGCGACAATAAGGAGCCGGGCACCCAGGCTACCGAAGCTCCACGATTCAAGAACTCAGTAGATACATACAGTGCCGATTGATAAATTCTGCAAAAAGCCAGCATGTGCCGGCTTGTCGTATACGTATATATGTCGTATTGCCACACATTCACAAATTATACCAGATTTGTATTCCTGTGGTTTAGTAGCATTTCTATTTTTGGCTGGAATTTTTTTTCGCCCGCGCGCACTAGTTTGGGGGTCTTCAGAGGATGTCATCCATGGCGGTATGGCCTAACTTGCATGAAAATACCTACAACATGTAAAAGCAGACAAACCTCTGCAGTGTGGTGTTGCATAGTCCCATCTTCCATTAACTAAGCAATTGTTTGTGCTTGATCCTTTGAGCCAATAGCCTTTATTACAGGAAAAGTGGCACTGAGTTCCAAACGGAACCTCCTGTCCATCACATTCGCCAGTCAAGTTCCCATATTTTGGAGAATGCATTGCTGGGCATGTCCTCACTGTTTACAAAAAAAAGTCAACAAAATTTGCCATGCAAGAAATGCATCGGCAGGTTGGCAAACACACATTGTGACATATTCACGTTACTCATTTCCAACCATGTTTAACAGTGTTTGCATGGGTCAATATATGCTATAGTACAGATAGGCGCTAGATAATTCCAACACCGCCAAAGGCAAAGGTCAAAATACTCAGTAACACCATCGTTGACAGAATTTAAACAGGTCATCCGTCCTAACCTCTAGGCATTGTTTTGTCACATTTCATGCTTATCATATGTATCATATCAATCAAGAAATATTCAAATATTTGAGAAAACTGAAATGTGTAGTATCACGGTAATTACATAGCACGATAATGGAAAAATAGAAACTGTGCTTACCGAGGCAAGTTGAATTTGTATTGTCCCATTCTCCTTCCTGTGCTTCATCGCCGGATGCGATGCACCTTGTTGTAGAAACTCCCTGCAGGTCGTAACCAGGATCACAGCTGATGTGGCAGAACTCTCCAAATGATGCATTGGTACACCCAGAATTTCCGTTGCCATTTGCTGGTACAGAATAGTCAGGGCACGGTAAAGCTGTGGGAATACAAAATACGCAGGTAAATTAGGAAGGCAATCTTGTGGTTTCTGTAAATTGATTTATTAATTCAACTGGTGTAATGAAACCTTACCATCACAAGAAGGGGCGTCTCCATTTGCCACTCCACTCGTATTCCACTTGCCAGTGTTCTGGCATACCGTGTCCTCCTGCCCTGTGAGTTTGTACCCCAATGAGCACTGAAAGGAGCATTTCGAGCCCCAAATAAACTGATTGTCGTCGCACGTAAAGGTGCCCAGGGGTAGGTACAGTTGGTTGGGACTACAAGAAACGACTGGGGAAGGCAAGAAAAAATAATTTCAAACACATGTTCTACTGATACGTGAATTATAATTTTTGAATTAAGTAGTATGTCATATGGAAGATTGCACTGTATGTGTCTTAGTTTGCTATACATGTACTTACTAATAGGATTCAGCTAGCTAAATGCTAATATCTCTATCTATAAGTTTTTACCTTTTACTCTGATGCCAAATATGCAAGATGAAGATTGCCCTGCACTGTCAGTGGCTTTATATTGGATGTCGTAGTAGCCTGCTGGGAGACTGTAGTTGTTGGCGATGTTTGTTATCTGCACAGGTAATATTTCCTCCCCTGAGTTGTCACTAGCAGTCGGCTCTTCCCAGGAGACCAAAGCTGTTGTAGTTCCTTCGGCGGCACGAAACTCTTTAATGCGATCAGGGCAGCTAAGTTGTGGAGGTTGTGTATCTAGTTATAAAAGTGGCAGTGAAATAATAAGAAAATTACTGAATCGTTCGTTTCCATTAAAAAGGTAATAGCAACAATTCATACGAATATGACAAAGACGAAACCTGACAAAAAAAACTCGTGTGTGCCGAAAGTGATAATGAATGTCTGTGTAACTATATACATCTCAGACATACCCAGTACCAATACCAAATGCCAGACTATTCGGGTTTAATACCAGGAAAAATACAAACATCCGTTAGTAGTTTCCTCTAGTGCAGCAATGGCAACAATTTGACCAGTAATTTTTGGTTCTTTGAATTATCAAAGGACTCAAGTAGTGTATGAGGCTATCTAACGTTTGTAACTTATGTACAACTTCTTACATTGTGTCATAAACATTTATGCAAACATTTGCTTCAAAAATGGTGCTCAAACTTCACCAAACTAAAGTGCTTTTCTACAAACTCTGTTGATTGGTGATATTATACATCTTGTGCATCAGAAAACCCCAAATGCACCAAAAAGCACCCATGGGAAACAGAAGAAAATATTATATTTGATATGATTTATGTAATAATCATCAACAAATGCAGTTTTCTTCCGTTTCCCATGCGTGCCTTTTGGTGCAATTTGGGTTTTCTGATGCACAAGATGTATAATATCACTAATCAACAGAGTTTGTAGAAAAGCACTTTATATATAAAGTTTGGTGAAGTTTGAGCACCATTTTTGAAGCAAATGTTTGCATAAATGTTTATGACACAATGTACTAGTAAGAAGTTGTACATACGTTACAAAAGTCAGATAGCCTCATACACTACTTGAGTCCTTTGATAATTCAAAGAACCAAAAATTACTGATCAAATTGTTGCCATTGCTGCACTTTTAAAGGAAACAGGACAAGACTATATGCCTGGTGCTGACAGTCAGCCAATGTACTAGTAAGAAGTTGTACATACGTTACAAAAGTCAGATAGCCTCATACACTACTTGAGTCCTTTGATAATTCACAGAACCAAAAATTACTGGTCAAATTGTTGCCATGCACTTTTAAAGGAAACAGGACAAGACTATATGCCTGGTGCTGACAGTCAGCCATCTGGGACACGTGTTGTGGAATGTGTATTGCAAAGGATGATGGGATAGTATCATCTCCCCCCCCCCTGGATCAACATAGTTCCCTTACCAACACAACGTTATTCTTGCTGCAACATTTCTACGTCCTATCTGTTGCCTTCATTGGGGCATACTTCAGTATTTCTCTGTCGTATTGCAACGTAATTCTGGCGAAGCGGCAAGGATATGACGACACAACATCGCTACAGCAGTGAAACGAAAACCCACTCCAAATCCACCCAAAGATAAGCTAAGGGACGATTAAATATAGACTGTGGGAATTAAAAATAAAGGTTTACATAGGAGAGATAGGAAAAGCGTTCGCTTTCATATTGAGACTACACACTAAGGAGGCCAAAATTATTAAAGAGTTCAGAAGGAATAAAAGTCCCAGAGAAACAACATACATTGTATTAACAAGAATATGCCAGCATTGCAAGAAACGACTTAAAGCATACCTTTACAAGTCGGTGCCTCCTTTGGAACCCAGGTCATGCTGTCATCAGCTGTGGTACAAAGTTGGGAATGCGAACCACTGATGGTGTACCCATCGTCACAGGTGAACGCGCATACGCTGTTGTACGTTTGGCCTTCTGAGCAGTCACGGCGTCCATTTTCCGGGTTATTTGGTGCAGTTGAACATGATTTGACTAAACGGCAATACCGTAATATTTCATTAGCATAAAAGCGCCCTTTCGGAAACAATCAATCAGTCTTGTGCACGGCGTTAACGTTCCGCGTCCATACTTATATAAATAAATGTCCCTCTTCAAGATAGCGTGCAATCCTGGTATATGTATGGAAAAAGCCTCACCGTTTATAGTCATTTCTATTTTAGTTTATTAGCACATACATACATAATAAAAAGGTATATAAAATAATACAAAGGAAATAAATGTGCAAGGGGAAGAAGAAAAGTCACAAAGGCTTATTTAAAGTCCTCCCCATCATGATTTTATAATTTATCAAATGAAATATAAATTGAATGTTTATTAAATGAAATATAAATAACATTGAAGAAATAATAAAAAGATAATAAACAAGTACAATGAAAAAAATGAATCAATTTAACAAAATAATCAAGTTTAGCATAAGTAATAATTTAAAAAAAACAATACGGTGAGCCAAACTAGATAAGTAGGTTTGGCTACAAGAAGATGGAAATATAACAAATCAATCACGCTTCCTGTCGGCTCACAAATTGGACGGATGTTCCCCCATCCGTAACCCTCTCCTATTGGTCCTCACTTCCTACCCCCTACCTACCCTACGACTCATCCTCATTCGTCGTCGCCACTTCATAGTGCGCCCTCTGCCGCACTAACCCGGTCGCCCGTTTTCCTTGCCCTAGAGTTATGTAAACTGTTTATCTACCTTATTGTTCGTCACCCGGATCAGATAATGTCAACTGTTTATCTACCTTATTGTTCGTCACCCGGACCAGATAATGTCAACTGTTTATCTAACTTATTGTTCGTCACCCGGACCAGATAATGTCAACTGTTTATCTAACTTATTGTTCGTCTCCCGGACCAGATAATATAAACTGTTTATCTAACTTATTGTTCGTCATCCGGACCAGATAATGTAAACTGTCAATAATATGAATCGTCATTACCTAGTGCCTGGTCACTGGTACCTTTTGATATCTTCATATTATACCCCGTTATCCATGTTCGGCTATCCGTGTTCCATATAAATAAACACTCAACCGTGGCGTGCGCACGTGGCGTGCGCACGACTACCCTACCCATGTGTCTTTCCAGTTTGTGAATAGACAGGAAACTTAGTTCTCTTCGGAGTTTACGAAGAAGAGAATTAAATTAATCAATACGTATATCAAACAATATAATGAGCAAAATATGAAAACGCTGTTTAGAAGGATATGATTTGAATGTTAGCCAGACCTAGGGGAGTGTGAAGTTATTTATAAAATCAGTTATGGCTTTAAAAATGCTTCAAGTTGGACATAGCTTTAAGTTTAATGTTTTGTTTAAATTGTTCCAGACAGTAGGTTCCTTGTACATGAATGAGAATTGCCGTTGATTAGATTTTGCAGAAATAGGCCTTATAAAATTTCCCTGTCTTGTGTAATGGCTATGGATGTCTGAGTTCAATATGAAAGAGTCATGGGTTTCAGGGAGACTGAGACATTTATTTATTATTTTAAACATTAAAAGTTTGAAGTCGATTTAAATCATAAATAGTCAATATTTCTAACTTTTTGAATAAGGGAGAACTAGGAGAAGTGAAGGAAGCTCTTGGTGCTATTCTGACGTACCGTTTGTGAAGGAGAAAGATAGGTTTGAGTGATGTAGAGTACGTAGATGCCCATACAATGTTGCAGTAGGTTAGGTAGGGATAAACAAGGCTGTAATATAAAGTAATAAATGTTTTGTGGCATAAAAGGTTACTTATTCTCCGTATGATCCCAATTTTCTTATAGATTGTTTTGCATATATAATCGATGTGGTTCTTCCAAGTTAATTTTTCATCTATCAGGATGCCTAGAAAACGAGTGTGGTTCACTTGCGTAATAAGGTTGTTATTCATTAATATCTTGACGTTTTCTTTCGGATATGTCTTATTCTTTGCTGCAAAAATGATAATTTGTTGACATTTAAAGACAATTTATTTGTTTTGAACCACATATTTTCTTTATCGAGTTCTTCATTCACGATTGTTACTAAACTATTAAGATTCTTGTGAGACATAAATTTGTGTCGTCTGCAAATAGAAGAGTAAATAATTTTTGTGAAACGTGGTAAATCGTTTATATAAATAGGAAACAGTAAGGGTCCCAAAATAGATCCTTCAGGAACGCCACATGTAAGTAGGTTAGGACGTGACTTGTAGATGCCATTGATAACGTATTGTTTTCTATTTGAAAGGTAATCATTGAGCCAGCTATGAGTTGTGCTTTGGAAGCCACACAAGCGTACTTTATCCAGTAAAATGTTGTGATCAACGGTATCAAAAGCTTTAGAGATATCTAAAAATGTACCTATTATAGTAAGGTGTTCTCGTTGTTATCTAAATTTTCAGTTATTTTATCAATTAAGAGTCATTGCACGAGAAAACCAGGCAAAACCAGGCAGAGGTCGGAAGATGGGGGTCGGCCAAATCGGCTCATACTTTGTATGTGAGATAGGTATGAGGAACTATTAACAGCCATATAGTTAAAACCCTCCAGGTATTTTTTGTTATGGAGTTCTGGGACCCCCCTCTGAGACCCTCAAAAATCTAACAATTTATGGCTGAAAATTACTGAAATTACAATGGACACCACGGTAATTCTGATAATGATATGAACACGGGGTTTCTTTTGTCACATAGCATGGGTCTTCTACTTTTACAAAACAAAAATTGAAGATGCAACATTGAAGTTAAAAGGGTATACCAGGGGGTTACCAGAACCAATGAAAACAGAATTTTCATCTTTCTAAATTTTAGTCATTTTTAAGTAGCTTTTTCTCCGTGACGCGGCAAATTTGATAAACGGTTTTACCGTTGCTGGAAAGAGGAACATCTGCTGATTTAGAAACAAGTGTCGTTTAATTGGGCCACGCATAACGCGGGCCGTGAACGAAGGGTCTTTATGGGGGTTTTCCGGGTTTTGGACCATAATAAATTAGCTAACAACGTCTCTTTACGGGGTAAATCATGGACATTTTTTGTGCAGCTACTTGGGATCAATGGACAATTGTTGAAAAATGCTAAGAATAATTAGAAATATTCGTTGGGGCTCCACATGGGGGATACAAGGATACCTAAAAAGCAAATTTAAACTGATTTTACACAATTTATCACATTTTATTTCTAATTTCCATTAGTAACTATCTTTCAAAATTAATTTTGTGCATTCACTTTGTGCTAAATAATATGGAGGCTGTGTATGGGGTTTATCACAACACCATGTGTGAAACTAGCTACCATATACACAAGCCGCATGGGTGCAAGCACTTAGATACAAGTACTCTAAATGAACACTATAGCAACAGGACTAAGACGAAAGCTAAACACAACCGTAAAACAGGCAGATTCAACTGAACGCCACTGAAAAAATTATTCAGACCATTTAGGATCGCTGTATAAGTCAGCAGTAGGTCGGAAGATAGGAAGGTCTTTGAAATCCACTCATAATCAAGAGGGGCGTTCTTCCCATAGTGGCTTTCTGAATAGTGAACAGTTTAGCATTTTCTATTTAGAACGTCTTTTCAGCTTGTACAATTTGCTATTTACGAAATTATCATGTAATGAAAGGCTTTTTACTTGGATTGTTTAGAAAAAATCTTAAATGAACTGAGCATATCGTAAATTCCTTTAGACAATATGACACCAAGGTGATTACCAAAGGCTGGAAAATAACAGCACTGAAAGTATACATTCACTGCAGTCTGGAGGTTGGTTTTAATCATATACTAGTATATTATGATTTAGAATTTTAGTTTGTACGGCGTTCCAAAAGTGCATTTGTTGGAGACGCTCCTGCAAGCTTCTCAATCGTGACAATCGCCCGCCTCGGTCATCTCTTTTTACAAAACTTATGTTTGCAAAAATAAAACACAAAAATGCAAAAAGTCTGCCAGGGCTGGTTTGTACTGACTTGTCTGGGGTGCGGGAGCATGAAAATTTGGAATGTATCAGGAGAACTGTGCATATTTATTGTAAACGTCATTGGCCAAATCTTGATTTAAATATTCTAACTGCTAATCATCTAAGTGAAACAAAGTCAATCAAATTCATTTCATACTTAATTCTTACATCTTTAAAACATATCATATTATACATCTGTGATCTATAATAAGTAAGTTCTAGAGTTAACAATAATTTACTTACTAGATGTAACATAATAATACTAACTAATATCCTCCGATTCAAGCAAAGACACTCATACACCAAATACAGGTTGAGCTGTCCTAGATATAAGTACAACTTTGTTTTTCTTTCTCATTTGCCAAAGTCTCAAGAGTACACATGTGGAAAACTACAGCAAATTTCTACATGTCAACCTGTGCACAATGGTCTAGAGAAAATGGTCTATTTTCAAAATAGGACCAGTGTTATAAGGAAATGAAAGTGTTTTGCTATGTGCTTTTAAATTGTTTTCAACCGGTTAGTTTTAGCACATTACATCATGAAATGAGACTTTTCATCTCTCTTTTAGTTCCCCAGAAACAGGAACACTATCCTTGCAGGATAGAAGACATGTTTCAGTTCATTCAGAAACAAGTCTGGTCTAATTACTGGACCACATATAACACATAAATGGGCCATGGGTCTATTAGATCATACGAATCGATCATAAAATGTCGCTGTGAAGGGCAATATATGGCCGTTTTTGTGTAGTTGGAGGAAAACCATGCATGCTGCATTGTGGTCAAAAATTATGCCGGTTTAAGGGGGCTCTGCATAGGGGGGGGGGCATAAGGATACTTGAAAAATTGAATTAATCCAATGCTTGCAGAATGACAATATCCAGTAATTTAGGCCTG